CGGGGCGGCGGGGGGGGGGCGCGGTGTCCCGCTGGGCAGCGGCAGCCCGGGCGCTCGGATGCGCGCAGGGCTACATTTCCCCGGTTTGTTTTTTTCCTTTCTCAGCAGCCCGCCCTGCCGCCGCGCCAGGGAGAGCAGCGGCCCCGATGCCCGAAGGTGCCGGGAGCCGCCGGCCGCTCGCCCGGGGGGACAGCGGCGCGCCCCGCTGTCCCCGCACGCACCCGTGACGGCTCCGCTGGTTCCTCACAGGGAAGAAGCCCCCAGCCCCTGGACAGGTCTGTCCGCGGCTCCGCGGCCACAAGGGTAATTATTGCGGGGGCGTTCGTGGGGGCGGGAGGCTCCAGGGGACACCCCGGGCAGCCGGGACTGTGCGGGACGGCGGGAACACCGCGGAGAGCCGGGAGGTGCGGGGCAGAGGGAAGCGGGGACACCGCCGAGAGAAGGGACGGGCAGGTGGCGGCCACCCGGTGGCGCTGCGGGCCTGTCCCAGCGGGAAGCGCCGCCGTGTCCGCGGTGTTCCAGCCTTCCTTCCCCCGGGAATCCCTGGGAACTCTAGCATTCCGGGTTCCTCTTCCATCTCTGTTTACCTTCACTCGGAAACCTTGGGAGAGATGGATCTCACTCCGTTCCGCGGCGTTTTGCTGCGGTTGCGCTGCTGTTGGACGGCTCGCTCGATAAGGATTTATTTCTAGCAGTGGGAAAGTTTGGAACCTGGGGAAATGGGATGGGTTTTGGTAACGTCTCTCAAGGGTGCCAGAGTTTTTACTCTGGTTTTTTTGAGTATCATTTGAGATGGGAAATTAGGTTCTTCTCAGCAGAATTGAGTAATTCAACTATGCGATTTCTCTGACTTAATGATTAAAATAATAGGGCATATATTTAATGTCCCAAAAGCTAAAAATAATTTCTGTTCTGCAGTTATAAATGTTGGCGAAATTTCAGCTCATTCAAAATCAGCAGCAGAGCTCTGTTTTCAGTGGGACAGGGGGGTTGAGCAAAAGGTAAAAAATATCCATCAATGATCAATTCCCAGTCCCTGTGCCTATGACCTCAGATGGGTTCTCATGGTGTCTTTTGTTGTTACGCGATTTGTTTTTTGGCAAAAATTCCTTATCTGCACTCCCCATTTTCTACTTACCTAGATATCTTTGAGTACAGACCAAGATGAGAACTGTAAGTTGCATTCTGTCAGTATCTCTAAAAGATAAAAGTTTTATTTGAAGATAAAACTATATGTAGAAATTCATTCTTTCAATGTACCCGATGCTGAAAAGCAGTATGTCCCAAGGAGGGAGATCAGCTACTCGCCACCCCTACACATTTAGAAATGTATCTCCCAGCTGTGTCTGAGAGGCAGAGTGGCAAATTTGTGGAGACACTTCAATGTTATTACAGATGTTCTTTGATCCAGAAGGAATAGTTGGTTCTAAATCTTTATTGAACTGCTAACAAAGTAAAATAATTTGTATTCAAAATAGTGCAAGATATCCAATAATGTAAAATAAATTTAAATGAGAAAGTTTTATGCTGTAACAACGGAACACGTAAAATGGGATATGAAGGCTTTGTGCTGGCAGTGTGACCCACCCAAGACACTTAAACTCTCTCCAGACCATTGGCTTAATTTTTGTAAAAAGGTAATTTTACCTAATGTTTAGTCAGTATTGTAGCCTATTCTGCCTCTGTGTGTCTGCAGCTTAAATGTGACCCCAGGAAAAGACACTCAGGGACTTGAGTGAGTAGGGAGCAAAATGGGCAAAGTGGTAACAGTAGGGCTTGGACAAGCACTACAGGGAGTTTGCCAATAATTGCCCATGAATGTGGGCTCAAGTGCATTAATTCCTCCAAGTGAAAAGGTCAGGAGAAGGCTGTGCCCACAGAGTGAATTCCACACAGCAGTCATCCAGTGAAGGTGCCTTTGAGGACACCTTCCTTTGGGTTTGGACATGCTGGTCTCCAGACATCCCATCCAATCCTAATAATTCTGATTCTGTGATTCCCTGCTGGTGTCACCACTAACATCCACTTTCCAGTGTCATTCCCAAAGACAGGTTTTTCCAGAAAGATGTTGCCATGTACAATGAGGCCTGAAAAAACATCCTTGCAAAGAACAAACCCTGAGATGCTCTTCTCAGTTTTGTGTGGCCACAGTGGAGAGGATGAAGGACAGAACAATCTCCACTTGGAGACTTATAAGGGCATTCCTCACTCTGAGAGCAGGCAGCCATAGGTAGTGCTTATGGCAAGCATTTACAAGGATTCCATTGTTAAACCTCTTCAAAAGCCTCTGGGGCTCTAACTCATAATTTCAGTTAAGATAGGTCTCTCCTGAGCTTTCAGTTTGGATGCTATGTTTAGGGTACTTGTGCTATACTGGCTATTCAGAGCTGTCCCAGGTTGTGTGTTTGGATTGTTTGGGCATTGCTTTGGAAGTACAGATACAGGGAGTGTGGCTCAACGAGTATTCAGCAGAGAAAGATAATTTGCAAAGTTTCTATAAGAGCTGTTGCCCTTAACCTATTCTACATTCATCTTTGATATATTTGTTTTTCAGGATGTGATTGAAAAGGAAGCTGGGAAGGCAGAAGTAGGTTGTTCTTCCTACATTGAGAAACATGGATAGACTCATCCTATACACAACTGACAGGTATTGTTAAATCTGAGACCATAGTCACAAGTGTGTGTGCTCTCAGCAGAAGCAGCACGTGGACAAGAGCTTAATATCTACAGTAGCTGATTGATTTCTCTTTTCTTTTTCAGAGGATAGAGGCTGGGGAAACAGCTGATTGTGAGTTTATCTGGAATTAGCAGAATTGTCTTTAGAGGCAGAGGGCCCAGAACATGTTCTGGCAAAGGAAAAGGGAGAGAAAAAGACTTAAATTCCTAGAGTGTGTGGATACATTTGATTAGAAGATGAACATGAGAAGTCTGAGAAACAGACATGGCACTACTTCATGGAAAAATAAGAGGCAAGTAAGTCTGACTCTGAAAAATGTAAAAGTCGGGTTCTTTGTTATGTTTGTATGGACTTTGTTAAATGCTGTAAATCATGGAGGAAGCTGTAACTACATTTCAGGTCATCAGCTTTTAAAAAGTGAAGGTTATTGTACAAGTAGGTCAAACATTACAAGTGGTAATGAAGTAGTTTTATACAGCAGTAGTTTAGAATTCAGTTAGTAGCTTTGCTCTGTTCACACTTAGTGGGCTGTTTTTTAATACTGAGGGGGACGGATTCCATTGCTCTTATTCATGTTGAGTTGCAGTCACTGGAACTAATTGTTGAATAAGGTATGCTCAGCATGAGGATGGGTGATTGAATCTAGCCCAGATGGAAATATCTTTTAGACTCCTGCTGTATTAGAGAGCAACAATCTCAACACAGGCAAATCTAGCATGATTCTAAAAGTGCTTTGGGTCATTCCTGTGGCACATGGCAGTATTTTTATAGATGAATACAGAGGTTGTTTTAAAGTGCTTGTGTTCCCCATCCCCACCCCAAAGTTGAACCACATTCACAGAAAAGACTGGGAAAACATCTGCAGTGTAATTTTCTGTCCCATGTTAAAACACCAACAGAAGGTGGGCTTTGCAGAAATTGCTACTTAACTGTAGCTGTGTCAGAGTTTACTAAAAATGTTTCATTATGAAGCGCTTTAGAGTAACGCAGTTTTCTGGCATTTATTTTCACTCTGTCACACTCTTCCATCATGCACAACTTCCTCAGATGCAAAAAATTACTTGTGCAGTTTTGTATACATATGCAAAATCTCTTGGAGAAGAATACCAGCATGCCTGGGTGGTGAATTGAGGAATACACTGGAGATACAGACATGGAACTGAATTTATTTTCAAGCAAAACAGGAGGCAGTCTTCTAATGAATCAAACCCCCACTGCATAAAAGATGTATATAATGACAAAAAATTCCTAACTGCAGGCAGCTGATCTAGCCAGTTGCTCTTCTTAGGTGACCTTGGGAGCCAGGGTACAGAACGAGGCACTCTGGCAGGGGACTAACGAGAGGAGTTTGGACACCGCTGCACTTGAACCAAGCTGGCTAACACTGCCCTAATTGAAAAGCAAAACTAATGAGTAGCCATTCTCTCTGATGCAATTCTAGTTAAGTGTGCTGTTTTTTCACTAGGCTCTCATGCCCCTACTTGGGACCAAAGAGGGAATATAAGAAGTAGCAGGAGCGCCACAGCAATTCCTTTAGTGAGCTAGCTGAGATAGGGCTCTGTATCGTAATTAAAGCAATCACCCTACTTTAAGTCTGGACAAAATCCTAGAGCTGCTCTCTTTGGTGACACTTGCAAAATATGCCTTAGAACCTCTAAAGTTCCCATCTAAGGAGAATTCCTAATTTCTCCCTCATCTGCTTTCTGAGGATGAGAAAAGCCAACTAGGCAATAACTATAGAGAAATCAGCACATTTTCTTATTCCCACTGTTGAGGAAATGTTTGCATCCTTCATCCTGAAGTATACCACTAGAAATAGCTGATCAGTAAATGCATTAGACTACTTATTTAAATTGCTAGTATGATAGAAATAAGACAAAAAACACAAGGTTTTTGAATAAGTCTTTTAAAAAGTTCATTATGTTACTATACTTGTTAGTAATTTAAAATACCAAATAGTAAAATAAAATATTCAGTAATATAAAACTAAATATTGGGATTTTCTGCCATGTAAAAGTTTCCTTGCACTAAAGGTGCAGTGATTTATTTTTTATTTGATTTAATAAAATTTATATATATCTTCTTAAAATAATTTGCACTAACTGGTCCTATTAATCATTTACGAGAAAGAAGAAGCTTAAGAACTTTTGGCTTCTAGGAAGAATTGCATAGATAAATGTGACAATCTAGCTGGCAACCTTGCTATCGTTTAAAGCAAATAGTGGCACGGGCTAGATTTTGAGCTGTGACTCAGCGCAGGATGAGGGGATGGGGTGTATAGCATGAGGAGGGATGGAGCATCATGTCTCCTGAGTTTTGGTCCCAGCTCCACCCTCAGGACAGGTCTGCCTGAGGAGCTGCCCTGTAGCTGCAGCAGCCTGAGCATTAAAGGCCCTCCCTGCCCTGCTTCACCTTTGCTGCCGTGCCATCGTTACACTGTGGCAGCATCGTGGTGCAGTGTATGGTTGCATATATTGGCCCTATGCCATTTCTGTGCTGGGAGCATTCTCTCTGGGGTCGCTTCAGACCTTCTGCAGCTCCTGTGCACTGCTGGAGAGGCGGGCAGGGGCTGCAGTGATCACTGGACTCTGGCTCTAAGCTGATCCTGAACTCTTTCTGCAGCCGGTCCATAAAGTAATCCCCAAGACTATTTCTGCCATCCTGGGAACAGTCAAGCCTGCGAGCATTGGTCAGCAGATCTCCCATCAGCTTGATCTTCTGGATTTTGGGCCCAATAAATTGTTTCTTGATGGTGCTTGCACTATGAGGGTCTGCATTTTCAACACTCAGGGCATAAAGCTCTTCAAAATATCGTAGCATAGTTTTCCATTGTACCATTGCTAGTTCCAGGGCTTTCATCAGACCGACTGCATAATCACAGTTTGGTTTCTGAAAACAAAGACAGAATTGTATTTACTCAGAAGAACAGCTCATGTATCTGTATTCATCAATGGATTCCTGCAACTTAACCTCATGCTCCAAAAATGTTGTACTAGGATTTTGCAACAACTGCTTCCAGTTTGGAGCATCTATTGTTTTTTTCAGGCTGTAAACACAAGTGGCAGAACCCAAGCACTTCTTCAAGGAACAGATTTACATAGCAGCAACTATGCCTGAAGAGGGTTCTTACACCAGGAAACCCAATCATAGAATGGTTGGGGCTGGAAGGGACCTTAAAATCATCTTGTCCCAACCCTCTGCCATATTCCACTAGACCAGGCTGCTCAAAGGCCCATCCAACCTGGCCTTGAACACTCCCAGGAATGGGGCATCCTCTACTACTCTGGGCATTTTTTTCTAGTGTGTCATCACCCTCACAGTGAAGAGGGACTTCCTAATATCTACCCTAAATATCTGCCCTCTTCCAGTTAAAAACTGTTATCCCTCATCTTAACACTGCATTCCCTGACGAAGAGTCCTTCTCCCTCTTTCCTGTAGGCCCCCTTTAAGTACTGGAAGTCCTAAGCTCCTCCTTGATGCAAACTGAGTATTAAGAAAGATTTTTACAATAGCCTTTTTACTTTCTACAGCTTAACTGCTATGATGGACCAAAGAGGAGCATTCTGTGTTAACTAATTTGGTAGAGGAGAATCAGCCTCTTGGTCCTAAACAAATGAGGTGGGTTATTTTTTTCCTGAAAACATTTGAGTTATTCCTTTGCACCTGTGCAAGCCCAAGTTAGATCTTAGTTCAAATTCTGTCACGAGCTGTACTTTAGGAAATCACCTACTGCTCCAAGCTGGATGGCTCTCCTTCCTTACCACTCTTCTTAGGTGCTAGTCATGTCTAAGCTTCCACTTAGGTTGTGTGTGAAGTAGACAAGTGGGCTATTTCAGCACAATTTAAGGAGTCATAATCCATTACAGCATAGTGGAAACAGCAGTGTCCAGCTGAGTAAAAGAAAAGGGGAACACTGTCCATATTCTTTTGGGCTGGAAAGCAACCCCATAGAGTTAGGACTGTATGTCTGACAGTTTCTAGACATCACAATCGAGAACAAAACCGTGTACACAAGTATGCCAGATAAATTATATCTGGAAATCTAATAGTGGATGAATGCAGAGATCAGAAGTACCAACAATATAATTCAGTAAGTTAAAGGGATCACAGCTGCTTGAAAATTTGTTGACTACTACCCACCTGGATGGTTTTAGAGCAGTAATGGCCTCCTCTTTCCTGCTGATACTTCATCAAAGCCTCTGCTGCTTTTCTCTCTTCCAGAGCTTGATGCAGGAAAAACTTCGAAATATTTGGTAGAGCCACATGTGACTGATCAAAATATTCACCCTAAGCACACAAAACGAGACTGTTAAGATTTGCCAGATATGGGACTCACCTGCAGCAGAATGTGGCTTTAACAGAACTTGGGAGACCCTTCCAGAGGAGGGTGATTTGTTCACAAAGCACGATCACTTTGGAGACCTTGATCCGATTTGTACAATAAATGAAGTGAGTAGTTTGAGTATGAAATGAAAAATCTGTGCTTCTACTAGAACTCTTTCTATCCTTTAGTATTGGTCACGCAACTGTAGTAATGATGTTGCTCTTGCAGGAGCAGTTAAGAGATCTTCAGAATGTTTTATTTATGAATTGTTAGCATGTGTGTGTTTTGCAAGTGTGTTTTGTGGAGGGTTTTTGTTTTGTTTTTCAAACATACTCCCAGAACAGGGAGCATAAAATTTATCCCTGCAGGCCTGCATTCCAGTCAAAAGTTAGCTTTCAAAGGTATGAGAAAGATGAGGCAAATACCAAAAAGAGAACAAGCACAACTTTACATCTGTTTATCAGTTTTATTATGGACAATGGTATTCCAAAATAATGGATACTGCTACTGAACTATACACCTTCAATATAAGATATAACTCATGCCTGGGAAGGCATCTCAGGAAGAACATATATCTGTTGGAGCAAGTCCAGAGGAGGGACACAAAGTTATCAGAGGGATGGAGCACCTCTCCTGTGAAAGGCTGAGAGAATTGGGTTTGTTCAGCCTGGAAAAGAGAAGGCTCTGGTGACCTAATTGTATCCTTCCAGTAACTATAAGAAACATGGAGAGGGAGTTTTTGCTACAGCATGCAGTGACAGGGCAAGGAGGAGTGGCTTAAAACTGAAAGAGCAGGTTTGGATTAGATATTTGGAAAAAACTCTTTACTGTGAGGATGGTGAGACACCAGAACAGGTTGCCCAGAGAAGATGGCTCTGAGCAGCCTGGTCTTGGGAAAGGTGTCCCTAACACATGGCAGGGACATTGGAACCTGATGGTCTTTAAGGTCCTTTCGAACCCAGGCCATTCTGTAATTTCAGAAGTATTACAACCCTAAATCCTCTGCTGGCCTTGTTCTGTTCTGTATGGGAAAGTAACAACTTAAACCACTGCCATATTTAACCATGCTAATAGACCTAACAGCTCTTATATTTAGAATATTTTATCCATATTATGGCTGTCTCATAAAGAGAAGTATTACAGGCAGGTAGCAAAGGAGAGCCAGCAGGTTACACTGGCTGGAACACTAGTTTTGCACAGCTCTGATGGTGAGGAGAATGAGAGGCAGCAGCTGGGACTATGCCAAGAACCAAACTGAGGGAGCTACATCTCTGCTTCCCTCTATTACCCTGCTTAAATAGGAAATATTTTCATTTCACCTATGTTCAGAAATAAAATGAAGACATGTCAAACACACAAGTATTTTCTCTTGTATTTTTAGGGATAACCTAAACCTGTGACACACATAGATGCACACGACCATAAACCATTGAGAAGAAAGCACATACTGGAATGTTTTATTAAGAACATTCATTGCTTTGTTTGCAGAATCCTTTTCCTCAAGTCACTCATTCCTATTTCTGTTGACAGCACAGCCAAGATTGAGTGTTTTATAAGCAGTTCCTCCGTGAAAGTTTGCAGCACAACTTCAAGTGGAGTTCAAGTTAACACATCTGCTTAACAGTTAAGGTAAATGTCTTTTATGTCACTCATTCACTATTTAGGATGTTCACATTTCTAGGTTTGATTTATCCACAGTCAATTTCTAACTGAGTTTTCTCCATCTCATCCAGCTAACAATCACTACAACTTTTTTCTTCCACAGGCTTAACAGGTTTTACTGCATACTTAAATTTTAATTGAACTTATACTTGACACCAAACTCAACTGAAAGATCTTGGGGATATACTGAATATCGTTTGTGTTGCTTCCCCGTGGATGCTTGCCATCAGAAGGTACGGCATTGATAATTTTGATTTTTTAAAAAAATTAGTATCTCTGTTAAGTTATATGCTTGCCTTATATGTAGCCTTATATGTAGCCAGATGCAATTCTGACATGGTATCAGTGATACCTTTTATGATTTCATGTCCAAAGTTCATGCCTGTGGAGTAAGAAACCCACAGACTATAGTTAACCACACACAGCTATTCATCAAAGTTATGAACTCAAGCGTTATACTCCACAGCTGTTAGCATCCCCTGTTCCTGTCCCTTTTCCCCAGGCAAGAGGCCCTCTGTGAATTACCCAAAACACCCGAGCGCTCGTTTCACGGCCCGCGCCTTACGGACCTTCCTCCTCGTCGTCTCGTGGCGGTGCGCGGCTTTGGCAGGAGCGCTGCCGCCGGCGGGCTGGGGAGCCCGGAAAGCCTCCACACCCCGTGTCAGGACACAGGCACGGCTGTGCCGTCCCCGCCCGACTCCAAACCCTCCTCAGCCGAGCTCCGGTGGCTGCCGGCGCAGGGGCGCAGACAGCCCGCCGTGCCCTCCCGCGGCCCGCCGCCTTACCAGCGCCTGCAGGCAGTAGTGCAGCTCCAGCTGGGCGCCGGTGAGCCCGCAGAGCGCCTCCTCCACGGCGGGCGGGAAGCCGTGGCGGACGCGGCTGCCGGGCAGCGGGCGGTGCGCGGGGCAGGCGGGCAGCGTCACCCGCGGCCGCTTGGAGCGCGGCTCGGCCATGGCCGGCGCCGCCATGGGCCCGCCGCGCCGCCGCCGCGCCGCCTGATATAGCCGGGCACCTGGGACACACCTTGCGAGCTGCCGCCCGCCCGCCCTCCGAGGGAGGAGGAGGAGGAGGAGGATGTGGGTGTGCGGATGCGGGCGGGCACTGGGCAGGCGCGGCGGGAGCGCAGACAGCGCCGGACGGCCCGGAGAGCCCGCGGGTGCCGGCAAACAGTGAACAGTGAATGACTGGCATAAAAGATTTACCTTAACAGTTAAGTAGATGTGTTAACTTGGCCTCCACTTGAAGTCGTGCCGCACGCTTGTGCTGAAGAAGTGGTTAAAAAACATTGAATCTTGGCTATGAGTGACTTGAGGAAAAGGATTCTGCAATTAATGTTCTTAATAAAACATTCCAGTATTTTTCTCTTAAGTGGTTCGTGATTAGACATGTACATATGTCACAGGTTTGGGGTATCCCAAGGCGGTCCTACAAACATAAGAGAAAAACATAAACTTGCGTGTTTAACATGCTTTCATTTTCTTTTTGAACAGAGCAATACAGCCAAAGTGAAAGTATTTCCTATTTAAGCATGTAGTGGAGGAAAGAAGTCCCAGCTGCTGCCTCTCATTCTCTTTGACATCAGAGCTGTGCAGAGACAGTGTAACCTGCTGGCTCTTCTTTGCTTCCTGTCTCTAATACATTGTCTATATGGGACAGCAATACCGTGGATAAAACTCTTGTAAGGTAACAGCTAAGCCCTTTTCCAGGCAGTCACATTCAGTACCTCTGGTTCCAGCAGTAGCATCTGAGATTGTGGCCAGGCTGGGCTGAGGCTGGAGTGGCAGGTGAGAACATGCAGGCAGAGGCATGTTCTTACCTCCCTCATTGATGGGGGAGTGAGCTCTGAAAAGTCCTGGCAATTTAGCAGTGTGTGTGTATGTCTTTGCTACAGGGTAAATTTTTAGGTTTTTTGGTTTAGTGCTAAAAATGTTAGTGCTGAACTGGTCCTACCTATGCTTCTTAAACTGTCTTCAGTATTTTAGTAACCAGTAACCCTCAGCTCGTACAGCAACTTCAAATACACATTACTGATTTTTTCAACTGTTTTACCATGTGGACGGAGCTCAGCATTTCTTGAGCATTTCTTTACATTTAATAGATTCAGACCAGTGGAGAGGAAATATGAGTAATCTCAACATCCTTCGAAATCAGTAATTTTCTCTTCAGTGACTTTGTCTAGTAAGCTCAATGTTATGTGCTGTTTTGTGGAATATTTTTCTAGATGACCACTCCCTCATCAACCCAGGATGCTAAGGACAGAATCATTTTCCATTGCCTGTTTTAATTGTTATTGGATCTGACTGCCTAGAACCCAGCATGCATCATCTGACAGTAGTCACGTAGAGATATGAGAACATTGCTCATGAGAAACTTAAATAATTCTTGTTCATTGCCTCCATCTCATATGCTAATTCAGCCCTCTTTGTTAGCTGTTTTATCCATTTTTTACTTCTGAGTCTTCATGTTGTAGTTAAATTAGAAGTTTCGCTCAAAAAAAATCATACAGCATTTAAGCATTTGGGTAAAATTTCATGTGAGTAATATAGCTGTAATGTTTGCAAGGCTGAAATAAAAAGTCATTAAATGTCAATATATTGACAAGAAACTTGAGGAACATATGACCTTATTCTGAAGTTCTCAGTAGGCATCCTCTTCTTCAAAGCAGCTCTAGGGACTTTTGCTGGAAGGACATACCTCTATCAACTACCTTTTAGCCCCTTCCATTCCAACTGTCCTTGTTTTGGCCTGTAAAGTAGTTGGCCTGTAAAGTACAAATAAATGTATTATTATTCCAGAATAGTCCCTTGATTCCCTCAGAGGAGGAGGAAGAAGAGCAAGTGTGATACCTCTGTGTGTGTATGCATTGACATCCCAACCTAAATAAATACTTTATGGCCTCCTTTCTTTGAATAACTTGAAGTGCAAAGTAGCAATAGCAAGCAAGTTAGCCAGTGTCCCTGTGGAAAACTTTATGGTTGTGTTTTGTTCACTGGGCATTTATTATGATAATTTCTGGGCAGATCATCTCATAGCGGTTTATCTCTGCATTAGTGGGCTTTGGAGCCTTGGAAAACAATATTAAGTTATCCCATTTCAGTGGTGGACAGCTAAGAGACAAGAGCAGTTCTTAAGGTCATCTGTGATGCATGGAGCTGATCTGAAAACTGACTCAAAAATTCTTTATACTCCATATGTTCATTTTCTAAGAACACCATTCAGTTTATTTTGCTTTGTGCTGCATAGAACTAAAGTAAGTACAGACCATTTGCATGGTTATCAATTGTATTATGGAAAAATTCCATGACAAAGTCATATAGGGATTCTTGCTACATAGCATGAGCTATGCTATTTGTATCTGGACTGGGGAAGGTATCATCTGCTCCAAAAGCTTGTGCCCTCAAGAAATGCAGCATTCCAGGGAGCTGGCACTTTGTTCAGTTTCTTAGTTACAGCTTTTCAGCACAGAATCACAGAATATTTGGAGTTGGAAGGGACCTACAAGGATCATCCAAGGGTTGGTTACAGGCACATGCCTTGATAAAAGGTATCTTTTCATTTTTATGATTTGGTATTATTTTGGTACAACACATTTTAAAGCGTGTTGAAAGTGTATTGCAGAGTGGGAAGCCAAAACACCACAGTGTGGAATACAGAACTACAATTAAAATTCCATCAAAATAAGCTCTCTTACACACAAACCCATACCTTCTCTACTCCTCCCCACTCCTTTTCCTGCTTATTCTTTGGCAGAGTGCAGTAGAGAGGATTGTTTGTGTCACTGAGCTTTAGCAGCCCTCTCAAAATATTCTTTCTCCTGAGCCTACTTTGCAAACATTTAGTTGTATCTGGCCATTTTCTACCCTGATTGTCTCATTTAAAGCTAGATTCTTTTGGCTGCACTTTGTGATCTGGAGTTGGTATTGTTTATTCTTTCACCACAGGTAGTAAGAGTTGTGGCTGTTCCTTCTCTTCAGCTACCATCTGTTTGCTTCTTTCTAGCTGTGATGGGTTTTTCATGTGCTTTGCAAAAAGTCTATCTAATGCTGCCAGAGTTTTCTCTCATTCAGTGCCCATCAATAGCTATGATGAAAACAGAGGGCTGTGTAAGAAAAAAGGAAAAAACAAATAAATGTATGATATGTATGCTTGTGAATTGGCCTTCTTCATTCATCATTTTGTTTAGTAATTAAGTGAAACCAAAGCTCTCTGGCAGGAAATTAAGAATGATTCATATGAGCACCCATGAATTCATGATTGCTTTTATTGGATTTGAAGTCCCTTAACCCGTTTTTCTTACACTTTTCTAGTCTCAACAGGTGCTTCATCTCACTATTTTTTCTCTTTTTTGCTTCCTTTATCCACGGAGGAAGAGCCAGCAAGATTTCTGAGTTGTTTTGTTGCCTTTTTGCACTGTATGACTCATAAAGTTAAAAAAGAAGCCTGAAATTTGGAATGTTAGTACTTAAGTAAGCGTAGCAAAATAACCTCTTTTAACTGACTTTCAGTAAAAGTGGTCATCAGCAAAACATGAGATGGCCCTGGAGAGACAACAGTGTTGTGACCAGGCTGCAACATGGACATTCTGGAAAATATTTTTTGTCTCTTTGTCACTGACCAAATGCAAAGGGCCAGTTTGCTTATAGTGCTCTGAAATCAGCATGTTTTAGTGATACAAGAGAGGGATTGCTCAAAAATAAAGCCTAGTCTCTTTGAAACCAGTCTTGTTGCTGTCAAACAGAACAGCCAGAAGCCTGTATTTTGGGTTTATAGGTACTGAAAATTACTATACTGTGCCAGATCTGCGCATATTTTGCATATATTCAGTTTAATAAAATGAGGTAACGTAATGAAATTCAGCTTGAAAAATACTTGGATTAACTTTTAATTTTGAAAGTAATTTTTAGTGCCTTTTTTTGGTTTTTTTTTTTTTTTTTAAGCACTCACCTCAAGTACTCCAAGCCTTAGTTTTCATTTTCTTTCCTTTTCTAGAGTCCCAAAATTTCTTGCTGTCATTGAGATTTTTGTGTTTGCCAAACATCCGTTACTGCAGTGTTTGAAGCCAGATGAGGTGTTTGAGGATGTTCTCATCGCTGGAAACAGCCATGTCTTTTCTGCCTTGAGTTTTCCCAAACGTTGCTTCAGTAGCTTGATAATGTTGCGACACTTTTTGTTCTGTTGTAACTTTTATCTCAGACAGTTTCCACAGGCTTCCCAGGCACAATTCTGCATGGCACAGATATTGAGATGTTGGCTCATTGCCTCTCTTCTTTGGCAATTAAGTTCTTCCTTAAGGAACTTTCTGAATGCTGGATAACATAAAACATTGTGATATATATATGGAATTCTTTGAAACTTCACTGATTGAAATCTGTCCTTGAAAGAGAATATGCCCACAGGCATATCTCTGCTGTGTCTAAAGCTAACGTAGGAGACAAGCTTGTAAGAGTTTCTGAAATGCAAGCAAAACTTATCTTTAACCTTGTGTCACAGAATACATATAGGAGGGTTTTCTAATCCATGCTATTTTATTCTCTGCAGTATTTAAGTTGGATTATCTGTAGTTAATTCTTGCTGCCACCATGGGACCCTTCCAGGAGCAGAGTTTGGAGATGGACAGCCTCTGCTGCTTCTCAGTCAGGAGCTGCTCTGGGGCTTTGGTGTACAGGGCACATCCTGCCTGTGTACCCCCAGCCCTCACCCTCCTGCTGGTCTCCAGGCGCCCCTCCTTTCTTCTCTTTCTCCCTGGGGGCTCTTTCCCACTGCTGCACAGCCACAGTGCTCAGGCAGACTCATTCTCTCCCTTTCTTCCACTCTCCCTTCTCTGGACCCTGGGGAAAATGGTGCTAAGAGGAGGTTTGGGATCTGTGTGTAGCTCTGCAGTCAAGCCTAGAAGATGAAAGTGCATCTGAAGTGCATTGACAAACTCTTGCTGTGACTGTTGTGCCCCAGCCTTGTTAGCATTTGCCACCTTCATCTTTCCCATATCATCTCAAGTCCAGCTGCATGTGGCTGTGTTTGTGTGACAGCCTACATGTGTGGGGCTGCAGGTCAAACTGGGCTGTGGCCACTGTTTAACTCATGTCTAGAGGCTGTATGTCACTAATTTCTCTTAAGCACTTACCACTCTGCAATTTTAAATGCTGACAAATCCCGTACACTGAGTTGTTCACTGTTGTCTTTTCTCCTTGTATTCACAGAACCATCACACGTCCTGACTCAGCTTACCAGCTCAGCCATGTCTGTAGGAGCCCAGGCTCTGGCAGCACTGAGGAAGGCCATGGCTGGGACTGGGCAGAGGCAGCAGGGAGAGTTGGAGCCCAGGGGCAGCCTGTGCTCCCAGCTGGTGGCTGCAGAGGAGTGGCAGCCTGGCTAAGGAAGCTCCAGCCTGGCTGGCAGCATTGGCTCTTCCATCTCCATTTCTGCTCTTACAAATACACTTGAGTTTTAAGTGGGATATTAATTTCAAGTGCTACTGGCTGATACTACCCCTTTGGTTTTCCTAAAGAGGCTGTGCTTAGGAGTAAGTTTCTATAAATTGGCAGGGTTCATCTGCCTCTGAGATTTTACAATTGTTATTTCAGATCACTTTTAAAAAAGCATAGGCCAACAGATGTAAGGCTCATCCATGTAATTTGTCTATGGTATATCATAAGTTTGCAAGTGGAAGGCACAGGGCCTCAGCACTGGAGCATATTTAAGGGGATTCTGTGGAATTTCTGAAAACATGAGGCTTGCCCCAGGCAATGTGTTGCATAAGGGAGTTGTGCAATGCCAAACTGCCTAAAGTCTGCCATAATTTGTATACTTTGTGTACTTGCCTTTCTAGTCTAACTTCCTTTCCACAGCTGTGAGTTAGAATCTGTACTTACTCTTGGGTAAATGAGAAAATGAGACTTGACACACTGAAAAAGGCAGAGCCTTTCTTTGTGTGTGTGCAGCCTGTGCCAACTGAAATCAGTGACCAGGTAATGCCTTCCAGGCAGTGTAAACTAGTCTGGGCTAGAAGAAGTAAACTGTGGGCAAGGGATGAAGGTCCAGAAACCATAGTAACCATTTATTGTCTTGGTGCTGTATGCTACTGATAATCAGTGTTCATAGAGTCCCTGCTAGTACCAGGAGCACCTTATTCTGAAGTACAGGGACTCCTGGGAGTTAAACTGGTTTGACTGATGCCATTTGCTACATGGCTTTAGAGAGAAGAAATTAAAGCCACAGTTGTGGTAAGAGGAGTGTGAAATGTTTGCAGGTGAAGAGGAAATGATTGTAAATTTTTTGGCTTTTGTAATCATGAAAAAAATAACAAATCATAATTTTTGTAAAAGAATCCTTTCAAAGTCTTGGTGAAACTGCTTGAGAAAAAAAGAGATTTGAAATTTTAATGTGAACATTCATCAGCTAAATGTTTGTTTAAAAATTTTGTAATTAGATGGAACCTGTGGTGGTGACTCAGACAAAGCAGAAGTGGGTAATTTCACTCAAACATCGTGCACCTTAAAGGCAATGCTGAACTCCAATGAAGTAATTCCTCTTCTAGTTCCAGTCACAAATGACCTTTTATTGCTGCTTTTTGGTCAAAGCACCTCTTTTAGACCATCTTCATTGTCTTAAGTGTTGTGATTCTCTGGGGTATCTCTTTCCCTATCATCTTCTGCCTAATTCCACTTTAATAGCTTTAAATAAATTTTTAAAACCTTACTACGATAGGTAGATTGTAGTAAGTTTGTGGCAGTATGTCCCAGACAAAGTCTTCTCTGCCAATCTGCAAGGATCAAACAATTTGTTTTTTCAATTTCAGTGTCTTTTTGCAGAGCATTTGTTGAATTGAGCATTCTCCTGATTTCACTGGAATTAAAAGGTTGAACTCAGAGTATGTTTGGCTCCTATCAGTTAAAGCAGTCAGCACCATTAATTGGTAATCTTGGGAAGTTAATTATTTTGATCTTTAGGACACAGTGGCATCACCCACAGTGATGCAGTGAAATTCTTCTTTTCTGATTTTTAAACCATTCCAGTTGCTATCGCTTTTTTATTTTCTTTTTCTTTTTTTTTTTTTTTAATATAATTTAGAATTTACTGGGCTATTTACAAATTTCATAGAACATTTTGTTCTCTGATTTAAATCCTGCATACCAAGTGCCTGCCTGGGGCAAAGACAAAAAAAAGAAAAGTTTGCTTTGATACTGTAAAACTGGTTGAATAAATCCTGTGCAGCTGGCCTGCGTGAAATGTGTCCAGTGACAGCAAGCGGCAGCGAGGATTCAGAGGGATAGGGAGAGCTCTGTGCTGTCAGATGTTGCAGTGTTTTATTGCTTTGGCTGGGAATGGCAGGAATGTGTAGGTATCTCTACTGCTCAGTATAAGGGTGCAAAGTGGTTCCCTCAGGCATGTGTGTGGACAAAACTGCTGCACAAGTGTGCAGTGTTGCCTTCTGTGTATGTTTGTACATGTTCTGGTGTTTTCCAACTTTGGAACTGTGGTTAAGGCCTTAAAGGGAATGTGTGAGTCTGCAGCAGCTGAGAATACATTTCCAGCACTGGAGGTTCCCATGTGGTTGAGTATCTGTCCCATCCTTGGTGAGGAATTGTCTAACCTGTACTGTGGTGTTCATCAAGGGAAATTCTTGGAGACTTATTTAAATATTCAAGCCACGCAGTACAGGTTACACTTGTCTGTACTTGTGGGTGAGATTTCAGGGACTATTATGGATTGGAGAGTGTTTTTTCTGCCTGTGCTGTTCTCGCTACCAGCTCTCTTCATCCAACTGTCTCTCATCACTTTGCTTCTCTTTGTAATATAACCCAGCTGAGACATGGTCCCGAGGGAGAAGTGGCTTAAATCTGAATCTTGAAAAGTCAAGAATTAAAAGATGCATAGCTCAGGAAAAGAAATTTTGGAATACAAAATTACGAAGGCTGTGACTGGTTCACATGAGCAACTTGCAGCAAGGTCATGTTTTCCTCTTAAAGTGCGGCAACAGGAATTTGGAAATCCTGCTTTTACTTGGGTGGTGTGAGCAGAGTGCCTTTAGCCATGCTCTGCAGTGCCATCTCTGTGAATCCAGCTCCATTCTCAGGCTCCAGAGAGCTTCCAGGTTCTCCAGAAAGAAGCACAAGAGTAACTGCAATGATTGAGACCAGATTTACAGAACTGGCCTCTGGAGCTCAGAATGGCAGGACTCAGAAAAGAAGGAAACATAGAGGCTTTCATTAGTTCAGGTGTTTATCAGAAATACACTAAGAGGGACTTTAAAAAAGAGATTTGTATGTATTGGACGGTAAACAAATTTCTAGCAAAATGAGGCAAGAATAAAACTGCACTTGGAGACAGTTTGACCAATAGTTTCTGACAGGGGTTTTTGGTTTTTTTTTTTTCTCTTCCTGTGTCATTTGTAGAGATCCGACATTGAAATTATGCTCTGTCCTACAGGGACCACTGGCTTGAGCAAGTGCACGACAATTCTTAGGATGCCTGTGCTGAAAGACTTCTCTTAATGGACCTTGATGGAGTTTGGTTTCATTTGTTCCAGAATGGGATTGCCCTTGCTGTTGCTGCAGGCTCGTGATCTGGACCCAACCCTAGGACTCGAGCAGGACTGAGGGACACATGGTAAGATTGTGTTACCTGTGCACAGGAGGATTGTGAAATCTGGGATGTGTGGCCTGTGACTTTCACCTGTCTGGTCTGACGCAGTGGACAGGTAAGTTTCTGTATTGATGGAAGAGCAATGGAGAGCAAGGAGAGGAGGTGAAAAATCCTTAGGAAAGCTAAAAACAGAAGAGAAGCAGCACTGAGAGTGGGCCAAAGCTTTTGGTTGTGTATGTGAGCATTACTCATATAACTTCAAGAGGGTACATGCTTTAACTGAGCGTGTACCAGCTGAGGACTTGGCCCATAATGTCCTTTATAAAGCTCTGGTTCCTCCCCAAATAGTTTTTCCCTCCCTCTTCAAAGGGCACCTGTTGTTGGTGGAGTTGGTGATGATACTGGATTAGTGCACATGCGGTCAGCCTGCTTGGCCTCGGTCCTTTGGACCCAAAATGAACTCCAGCTGCTGCTGCCCAGAGCAGGTGCTTCATCCAGCCCGAGCAGCTGTTTGAATGCACACAGTCATGGCCAAGAGGAGGGGGAGGTCCCCTGGAGGACCCAGAGGAATGACTGATCAGCAGCAGGCAAGGAACAGGGAAGTGTGCCATGGAGACCTGGTTTTTATACCCAGCAGACAAAAGTTGTTCTAGCATTTCCTTGTGGAAATAGGGAACACTGGCTGTCCCTCTGCATCCACTGAGCCTGCTCAGTACCATGATGGATTATGGTTCCCAAAAAAGAGGCTGAGGGACCACTAAAGACCAGCAGGGCTGGTTAAAGCTCCAAAGAGTGGCCCAGCAAAAGTGAGACTGGGCATAGAATCATAGAATAGTGCATAGGCTAATGGCCTGCTACCTCTGATAGCTTGGGCTTCACATTCACACTGCTAGAGGGGGAAAAACAAAAGCAGAGATAATTTGGGGTGTGAAGCAACTACAGGGAACAGTGCCAGGGAATGGAGGCAAAGGGTGTGTGTGTGTATATCTATAGATATATATATATCTATATTTATATATCTATATCTCCATATACTTGGGAGTATATGAGTATATGTATGGAGATGTAATGGTTGGGAGTTTGAGGTCAGACTTTGAGGACAGGGCACAGATAGTTTGTGTCAGAGATAAAGCAGCAGCAACCTATGATTAGAGTGACAGGGACAGGACAAGGATGCAGGTTTTGTGGAGTAAGGGAATCACAACCTTCAAATGGATGAGGGCAGCTTGGGGTAGGGTCAACCCAGACCTACAGCAAGAGGTAGTGGGGAGTACCTTGCAGAGCAGGGAGTCTCACAGGATAAGCTGTTCAAAGTAATTTCTATCACTGGCATCACAAACAGCCCTTTCCAAGTCCCTTCCAGCATTCCTTCAATTTATTCCCCTTCAACTCTTGTCACTGACCTAGCAGTGGTTCCCATGCAGTCCTGCACTCTCAGATTATTCCCATGCTGTTAGCAACAGTGCTCCTGGCCTCCCTTTCCAGGAACATGCACTCTCTGGTGCTGTCTGCATGTGTCACTGTAGTCATTAACACCAAGTTTAATGTGACCCCTTAGGTCCCATGCTCTTACCTGTATTCACTGACATTACCAGAGTCCTTCCACTTCCTCTAACAGGCTCAGTTTGTGTCCCTGTCCTCTGGGTGTTTTTGTCATATCCCATCAGCCAGACTTTTTATTCTGTGCATCTTTGCTGATTGCTCAACGAGGTTTACACTGAACCTCCATAAGGAGGGGTAAATGCTAAGCAAGGATACTTCCTTGTACAGCTGTAACAGGATTATTCAGGCCAGATTTCATTACAGCATAGCCTAAGAGTAGGAGAAAACATGACTATCAGAGGCCTCTCTTTGTCAGGAAATGGGATTTCCGCAGGTGCTCGGTTGTAAATGCTTTGCATGCTTCTAAGGCTTGGCACATGGCATTGCTGAATCCTGATTCAGGATGCAAGAATGTCTCATGACCCCTGCCATGAAAACTGGTGTCTGGCCATGTTTGGAAATCAGCCGTCGATGATGACAGTAGATGAGTATGGGTGAAATGAGGAGCTTGGCTTCGACACTAAGCAAGACTTGTTAAACATTGTAAATACAGATGTCCAATTCATATTTTGAATAATGAATATTATGAACTTTTCTGTAGCAAGTGGTAAGAAGCTGGATCATCTTTCTTCATCTGCTCGCTGCCTTCACAGAATTTGCAAGTGTGACAAACTATTTCATCCCTTTACAGGATTAGGTAAGATTGGTAACCATAATTCATGTGTAGAAATAGTCTAAATAGCCAAATATATGGATTTAAAGTTACCTATGTGGTGGCAGGGAAATTGTTTCCATTTTGGTTTATTTGTTTCTTGGATTGGTCGGGTTATAAACTGACTTCATTTGTTTATTCTTTTGGATGAAAATCTGCAGCTGTACAGGCCTGTACCATTTCTGTCCCAGTGTAGCTCTTCCATCAGGTATTCCTGCTATTTGGTTTGCTTCTATGTGAAAATTAAGGGATTGGAAAATTAGTACCAGAAACTCTACACGAATGAAATTCTCAAGACTGTTAAGGAGAGGGATGTGTTAGGAGTAGGGTTTTTCTGTGCTCATTCTGTTCTTACATCCCTCGGACAAGTCACTGTTTCATGTGGAAAGAAACACCACACACAACTGTTATCAGTGTGTGGTGTAGCTCTGTGCCAGGGGAGATGTCCTCCTGTGGATACCAGCAGTAGTTCTGTGCTGTCTCCTTACCTGTCTGATAGCATGGCTGGCTGATACCCACACCCACTGATCACCTGGCTGCTGCTGCCCTGCCTCCTTCCTCTGCACTTCTCTTCCTCAGCTTCCTTGAACTCAAGATGAATGAAAGTGCAGCTTTTCAAATCTTGGTGGAGTAGTGAATTCTTGCTAAAAACCAAACCAAATTACATTTTCAGAGTGGCCCTGTATTTAAGTGTGGAAGCACATTTAATTTGGTATTCCAGAGGTTTTTAATGACCTACATGTGGAAAGGAATTTTTTGAAGCATCTGTGTTTTCCTAATTAAAATGTAATTAGGTACCAAGGATTTAAACCATCCTAAAGATGTGTGGCAATGCCCAGTGTCCTGTCTGGTGAGGAACAACTGAGCGAAACAGTTTGAGTGTGGTAGATCATAATTTACTAACTGCTGGATTAAGACCAAGGAAATAAAGAGCTTGTTAGCAGGCCTCCACATTTAGGGGATCTGGAGAGCAAAGAGGTTTACTTTATATGAGGCCCATGTTATGCTGTGCAGGAATTCCCAGTTCAGGGTCAAAAATACTGACAGTGCCCTCTCACCAGAGAGCCGACAATTAGCTTGCTGCCAGTAGGAAAAACAGCCTTTAAGTGGTGAGTGAACAGAGTGTCAGCAATGGACCTGGAGAGAGGGGCAGCACTCAGTCAGAGCCAGTGACATTCTTCACACCTGCTGTGGGGCATAACAGTAGCTGGCTGCCTCAGCCCGTGGCACTACAAGCAGAGCATTGTGCTGTGACACAGCCTGGACAGCGATTGAATTACACACCGATTAGGTCTTCGCCTTCTCCCTGTCACTGTGGACAATGGAGAATCAGAGAAGTGGACATGAGAGCTTTAGCAGGCCTTGTGCTCTCCAGCAGAGGAGGATTAGTTTGTAAATGGTAAATTGTGTTGGGGCCAAGAGTCGTAAAACTGAACTCTTGCCCTGCTGCTGCCTCAAAGGCACAGGCTCTGCAGAAAAGCCCTTCTCCCCCTTCTGCTAAATGCTGTGATCAGGGGAGGGGTGGGCATATGGTGGAATCTGCTCCTCCTTTCCTCTGCCAAAAAAGGAAGAAGAAATTGGTACATTGGTACAAATTTTGCTCCTCACCATCTCTTACTGTCTTTTCTAAGGAAGGGCATGGTATTGAATTAATCAGTCTTCTGCCATTTCCACAGGGATGCGGATTTACCTCTCCCTGAGGTGCTGCTGCTGGCTGGTTCACTGCCTGCTGGAGGGTGTCTCTAAGATCTGACTTAACCTGAAGCATGCACTTCCTCAGGAGGTCTGCAGCAGGGCTGGAGGACTGCAAGCACTGCATCCCTTCCCTCCTGTCACCTGCTGCCTCACAACTGCAGTGCCTGTGCTGTGCTCTCAGCTCCCTCTCCCTGAAATGTTCCTCGTGGTGGTTTGTACAGAGCTGCCTTGGAGCAGGCTTTGCTTTTGGTGGCAGGATCCCTTGTTGCTATGCCATTCATGAAGAAGATGGCTTTATCCTTGCTTTTATTCCACTGGGACCAGCTCCTCTACACACAGGCACCAAAAATGGCAAATCTTCATAACCTTTTTTGATTTTCAATTGAAGCTCTACATCACATGAACTTGGGGTTTTTTGAGAGGTAAAGACTTTTTTTTCTTTTTTTTTTATTTTTTTAAATGACACCAAATAAAAACCCAAACACCACAGCCCAACAAACTCAAAACTGACAGAAAAAAAAATCAAAACCCACCCATTGAACCCAAGTTGGAGAAACAACTGCACTGTGTGACTGATACAGTCCATGGGAGTACAAAGCATTCCAGTCTGATCTTGTACATCCACTCCCTATACCTATTAATAGCTTTTAGGCATTGGCATAGACATGGAGATGGGCAAGAGTAGTTTGCCATGCAAACATTTATCTGGAACCATACTATTTTCTGGAGCTAAAGATTTCAGTGTGATAAAGTGGACATTTTAAAGCATTGGGAGAGATAGGGGGGGATGTAACTGCCCTTAAACTGTGGTTGGATTAGGCATTCTCACATTTTGGAGTCTGCCAGTAAATAACAAAGTATATGAGCAATGGAAATATGTCCTTCTTAATCTGTAAAAAGAAAAGGACTGTTTTGAAAATCCATAAATCTTTCAAATCATCTTAAGGCATTGATCCTGAATCATCACAGGGGAATTCAACAGGGGTGTCCTTGTTAGTGATCAAAAAATATAAATGTGGTTGAATACATGGAAAACTGTATCTTATTCCAGTTGCCTTTATTACTGCAATAAATGATATCAACTCTCTTCCTACAGACTTTATTTCATCTGTTCACAGTGCTGGCATTTATTTTGTTTTGAGCTGAGAAACAGTGCATGCCTAGATACTGTAAGGTTGTAGAGGCTTTATGAACATATCATTTAAAAGGAATTGTTTCTGCTCTGGTTAGTAGTTTGAACTGAGAAAAGATACTCATATTTCATACTCCTGAAAGATATAGTAGACTTGCTGTAATACAGCAGTTCTGAGTAATCTGCTCATAAACAATCCATTCCAGATCCAGAAAACTCCCAAATATCTCCCACCTATTTTCTCTAATAGGTGGCGAATCCTCAGTAACTCTCAAAAATGCTCACAAGTCTGCAGGACATGAAGGCTTTGCTTTGGTTTATTTTTTGTAAAGTTTGGTAAAAAAAAAAAGAGAAATGTAGCTGTTGTTCAGCATAGTCAGTACTGATAACAGGGTTCATTTTCAAAACTGGAAAATAACAGCTATTCTAAGTAGTCACTGTTGGGTTTACTGCTATGGAGTGTTTCAGAGGTAGGTTTTAAAACAAAAAAAGGAAAACCAGTCATTCACGAGTGCTGATACAGGAATGACAGAGGTTAATACCACTGACATCATGTTGGAACTGTATAGCATTTTGTTAATGGTTATTAATGCCCTGCTGCTGGGAGACAGACAGTGCCAGCTGCCATTAGTGTGGTGCCTCTGCGGGTGTGCCTGGGCCTCTGCTCAGGAAGGACAGGGCCCTGAGGAAGGCTCAAATCTGCTCCCTTCTGAAACAGGAGGAGAGGAGACACTGAGAGAAGATATTTGCAGTGCCTTGCTCAGAACAGGGCTTGGAGAGTGAAGCAGGAGCAGCAGACACACCTATGGAGCCATGTCCAGGAGGTACTGAGAGCTTCTGCTCAATTCAGATCTCCAGGACTAAACTCAAGATACACATGCTTTGGAAGAAAACAGATAAACATGCATGGAAATGATGCCAGTAAGCCTGGGGAAGAAGCCTAGGTTCATGTAAGAGAACTCAGAGCTTTGTACATCAGGGGAAAGGAGTCAGAAATGCTGTAGACTGAAGGAGAAAAGCCCTTGAGAGGAAGGGAAAGGAACTTTGTAATGGCAGAATGATGATGGATATGGAACAATTAATTAGCTTTGACTACATCATATTCATTGTACTTCTAGATTTGTGGGTTTAGCTGCCTCACTTGGGGCTGGCTATTACTTTGTGTAATACCTTTGAATTTCATCCACCATAAGGGAATGAAACAGATACAGAAAAGTGCAATATGTCAGTGTAGCATATCAAATTGAGACAGGCATTTTTAGCAGTCTCTGCTGAACAGAGGTTTAAGCCTGCATTAGATTATTCCGTAAGTGTATTGTTGTTATGACAAACCTGAAAGGAGCTAAAAGCATTTCAATAGATCAAAAAAGGAAACTTTGATTTGCTTTCCCACAGCCTGGACCCAAAATGGGATTGCCAGCCAGTCTTACATGTCCTGGCTGTGTACCACACAATCACCCCCTGGTGAATGGGAGCAGAACACCTGGAGAAGAGTTGTGAGTCCTGTGGGAGTAACTGGCTCATCAGGCCTCTCCAAATTGTTCAGCTTCTAGATCTCTTTAAATGCTGGTGCAGTGTAACCTGAATAATGCACTGGGAATGTTTAGCCAAGAAATGCCTGATGGCCCAAGGACATTTTGATGGTGACTGCTATCTGATGTGCCACACAGACTGTTGTACTCTCTCTCATGCTAATTAAAAACTTGTACATCACTGCTTATGTTTTCTAAAAGGGAAAATGCAAGTTTGATCCCATGAATCTCAGGTTTGGGCACGCAATTTAATTTAAAACCCCATTAATTTTGCACACCCATTAATTATTAGAAATAAATTGAAACATCCATGCAATATTGTACATGTACTCCCCAGTTATGCAGCTTAATATTCAAACACAATGATTTGTACAGACTTTATTTTCTCTGATCACTTTTACAAATAGAGTTGACCATAGAAATAGTTTGCAGTCAGTTTCTCCAGTGCAAAGTGTGAGCAGCAGGAGCAGCAGTTCAAGGGGAGCAGTTTTTCTCCTCTGCATGACATTGCATCATCATTACTACAGGTAAATTGTTTGTCTGGTTTTTAGGATTTTCTTGAATATTTTTTCTTTTTTTCTTTTCTTTAGCTACATAAAATGGTTCATGTTACTCTTTCCAGTAGCTCAGGCTTCTATAATTACTACAAAAAATTTGCAAGGAAAAAAAGAAAAGTGTAACCATACACACTGACTATTTGGAAGAGCTTCAAATTGAAAGTAACATTGGAATTCTGTATTCCTTCAAGAAAATAGACTCTTACTCATTAACTCCTAGTCTTTGATGTTGGTAGATAACATTTAGAAGAATTCTGAATGTCTGGGAGTCAAGCTTGACTTTTCATTTGCATTTCAGACTGGAGCAAATCAAACAAACCAGAATGAAGTTTGAATAAGCTTCTACTCACTCCAATCAGTGCAGGATAGCCCCTGCAATCTAATGTATGTCTAGGCTTTGCCTCTTGAAATTTTTCTTCTGGGGGTGAGGAAAGAGGAGAATTTGTCTATAATTTACAGTTAACAGAGTCTATAATTAATAATTAACAGAGCAGCAGTGATAAAAGGTGCTTTTATCTTAAAGTAATAATCAATACAAGGTCATTTCTGAAGCATAAAATGGCAGTTTGGCTTGGGTAGGGTTTTTTTGTGGATTTGGGTTTCTTTGCATATAACGAAATATGGTAACTGGTGCCTCTTATTATGCCTACAATGTAACTCTCTCTGGAACCTTGATTTATTGTTTTGGATTTCTAGCTGGTGAAAAGGAAGTTAAAAATAATTTCCAAAACCTGATCTCTAGCAGATGAACATCTTGCAGAAAAACAGTCAGGTATGTTCTAATGCACCAATATTTGAGTCTTCTTCTGGGTGTTGCATTATGTGTCTGTTTAAAATACTCCACCTCTTTAAGGTTTTGACTATGTTGGCATTTCCCTATAGTTGCCAGAATGGTGTCTGACTGGAAATTAATCATCCTGTATTTGTGTAAACATGCAGTGCTTGTCTGGAGACCTGTGTGGAATGGCTGAATGTGCCATGGGCTGGTTATTAGTGTGTATGACTGCTATGTACAGAACCATACACTGAGCTATTTCTGGCTGTGTTTTGGGGAGTTTGAGCTGTATTCTGTTTATTGACCCTAATGTGTGTGTGTTTTCTTCCTTTGTGGAAAGAGAATAGGACTTTTGAATTGGTCACGACAACAGAAACAACAGAAGTTGTTGTCTCTTTGTTGAGAAAAGTAACTCCCTAACTTGAAATCATGTGTGCCAAGTTACCTTCACTGGCATTGTGAGAGCAGCAGCAAAAAGTTCACATAGTTAATAACTGGACTTTTATGGGTAAAGTACATACCTTTCTCCTAGAAAGAAGTAGTACCCTATCTGGCTTCACTCAAGCAGCAGCAAGAGTTTTAGAATCACAGAATGGCCTGGGTTGGAGGGACCTTAAAGATCATCTCATTCCAACCCCTCTACCATGAGCAGGGAGGACACCTTCCACTAGACCAAGGTTGCTGAGAGCCCCATCTCCAACCTGGCCTTGAAACACTTCCGTGGATGGGCCATCCACACTTCTCTGGGCAACCTGTACCAGTGTCTCATCATTCTTACAGTAAAGAATTTCTTAGTATCTAATCTAAACCTATTTTCTTTAATTTTAATACTATTCCTCCCATGCCCTGATGAAAAGTCCCTTCCCAGGTCTTGTAAGCCCCCTTTAAGTACTGGAAGATGATATAAAGTCTCCTCAGAGCCTTCTCTTCTCCAGGCTGAACAGCCCCAACTCTCTCAGCCTGCCAAATTTCTTTAGTGTTTGAAAAATGCTGAAGAGCACTTGTTTTTCTGCCTTTCTTCCTCTCCTCCTTATGAAGTGGAAGGACTTGCACTCCTGTTACTTCATGGGAGATATTAATTCATCATGGGCTTTTCTATATGAACAGGTTTACAGGGTTGTGTTGCCAAATTGATAATACCAGAGGAAGGTGTAAAAGCATAAGGGAAACATGAAATTGAATGTCTTAGTTAAAGACGCAAACTGCAGATGTGAGCAAACTGCAAAGCTATTCAAACTGTGAAGGAAATTAGGAGCACTGAATTCAATGTGAGCTGAAGATGTTAAATAAGCACCTTGAGTAGAAAGGATGCTGGCAGACACTGGGGATGGGGCTTGGCTGCTGGAGAACCATGTGATGCTCCAAAGCTAGTTGTTTTCAGGGGGCACAGTATAGAGTTGAATGGGCTTATAAATATGAGCACTTCAGCCATGTGCCTCAAAAGAACATCACTTCAACCTGTACCTGTTGTAAATAAAGGAAATTAAAAGGGAGAAGTTGAAGAACTTTGTTCAACTGCTTAGCTATCTGGAAGCAGCCAAGTGAATCAGACTTGTCTTGCAAAAAGAATGGTGTAGTAAGTCAGTCTTGTAGGCTCTCATGAGCATCCGTCTCTGAATCTGCATATATGCCATCATGAAATTGCAGAACAGGGTTTGTAAGAACAGTCTAAGATTTTGGTTAGTAAGGCTTAAGGTTGAAGGCAGCTCCTTGTCTTCAGAGACTGCTTTCTTTTTAAAAGCTGAGGGCTTAGTTTCCCCTGCCACAACCCTGTGGCGACTGGCAGCACCTCAGCCTGATCTATGAACTTAAAACACATTTGATCTGTATGCTGGTGCTTACTGCCAGGTCCTGCCACTCCACCTGAATAACTATAACATGCTCATAAATCAGGGGAGAGCATTCCTCGCTGACACCATCCCAAATGCCCTACTGAGCTGAAGCCTGTGTTAGCCATCAATGCCTCTTACATAAACATGTCATACTTTAAAGTAGGGTCTTGCAAAAAGCACAAACAATATGCTGGTATGGAGGGGCCACACAAAGTCAAGAGCTGTTAAGTGGGGGGAAGAGGAGGAGAAGAATCTCTTGATGATAAATATATCTACCAGACACATATGGAAAGAAAATAGTTAAGTCTAGCTTACATTTTTTTCAAAATGAAATAGTCAGATGTGGAAATGATTGTCATATTCCCTGGGAACTTGGAAGCTAGGAGCCACAGGAAAATAATGATGCATGATACTTTGGCTTTTGTTGTATTCCCTTCAGCCTGCTCTTCATCCCACACCTCATGCATCAGATACCCAGTAGTCTGTGTATCTGATTAGGTAGCAAAAAAACCTCAGTTGCATTTGATTTGCTATAGAAAGCTGAGTAAGAACAATGTGTGTGTACATTCAAAACCACTTCCTAAGCCTTGTTTAAAGTCACCCACCAACATTGTGGCTGCTAGTTCCTGTCTCCCAGACCTCAATTGTCACACAAGCTGATGCCAATTTTGGGCACTGTAAGAGAAATGTTAAGGAGTATCCCAGGCACACCTTTGTTATAGTACACAGCTGAGCGACTTGTAAACCTCGTGTGTTTGTGTTGGTACAGCCTTTGATGTGGATTGGTAAGGAGGGTGCTCTCCAGCACAGCAGCTGGAACACACACAGCCAGAAGTGACACCAGGCTGTAAAGAGCGTCTGCGGCCGCCCCTGTCAGATGGCTCACAAATCAGGGGGCTGACAGGTGCCTCTGCTGGACCCTGCACCAGGGTGTGCCTTGGTGTGCAGCAGCAGGTAGGAAACCTGCGTGGTGGGTGGCCAGATTGTACAAATGACTCAAATTCTCCACTCAGGGGCAACCAGGTGCACAACTTCGTGCAGAATTAGGAGCATTTTCTTTTCCTTAAACTGGGATGAGTCCTGTTTATGCTCTGACTTCAGACTGGGTTCAATTCCACGCTCTTTAATAGTCATGATAACCTTAATGTTAATTTGTAGCACTAAGGCAAGAGGTTTTTGTGCAACACAAAACTGAGCCTGCAGTTCTCCAATTGCCCCTACTGAAAGGGTTGGGCCCTCAGCACCCATGTTGCTTTCCCAAGGAGGGAGATCCAGCATGCAAGAGGAAGGTGTAAGTGCTCACATCCTGGAAGGGCTTCAGGGTGTTTGGGCATGGACTTTTCTTATGGAATATCTAATCTATCCCTGTGAGTAATTTCTAGCTGATTAGGATGATTCATGAGTATTACTCTGCTGTGTTAGCATTTGTGATGGTGATGACCTTCCAAAAATGCATGTGGGAGACTTGACACAATTTTGTTCCACTGCCTGCTTAGAATTGTTTTTTACTGCCTTACCCATATACATTAATTCCTGAGGTTCCCTTACCCCTTCACCACCTCCTTCTACACATAATTTAAGGTCGTTAGGGATTGATACAAAGCAACCAGCCTGCAGTGGATTGCCTTGTCATCCTAACACCTCGTTGGTGTTAACTGGCAGCAGGTCTCACCTTATGTAGGCACTGTAGTGCCTTGTGGCAGGTCTGTGCTTTTACATCCCAGCCTTCAGAGAAGCAGGCAAGCTTTTGGTCAGGGGCAATAGCTTTTGCATGACTTTTTTTAGAACCAGAAGCAAAGGCTGAGGCAGCAGCTCTGAACACGCGCTGGCCTCGGGAGAGGCTCCTTGCTGCTGCGCAGCTGTTGTGAGAGCTGGGCAGGACATGGGGCTCCAAAGCCGAGTGCCACATGTGCTTAGGCAGCCCCTGGCAATCCTGCCTGAAGTCAACTTCTGTTTAGGTGGTGGTGGTTTTTTTCTTTTTCCAGGCAGTCACTTGATAGGGTATAATCCTGTAAGATACTCAGCAAAGAAGCTGATACGGGAGAGTATTTCTGCAGATGCTTAATTTTCAGTGAATAAGTGGTCCTTTTATGTGGGTGGGAGCACTCATGTGCTTAAAGTTAAGCACATGCTTAAGTGCTTTCTTGGACTGGGGCCAAAATGCTAATGTGATGGAGATTCCCTTTCTCAAGTAACTGCAGTGTTCAGGACTTCATGTGGACCCCTGGGCCTGCAGGATTACTGAAATACACCCATGACTGGTGAATATTGGACGGTTTGGTTCTTAAACTTTTCATTGTCAGCAAAACCTTCACACAATGTTGCTATATTATGACTTTTATACTTTGCATACAAAGAATAGTTCTTTACTAGGCCGGCGACAGACTTGAAAAGAAACCCTATTGCTGACCTTAAATTGATTTTCTTATGAGGATATTTTATGTTTTCTGTTTGAGGAAAAAACAAAGGTTCCTTCAGCACCTTTCACTCTGACCCCACTGCCTTATCTTTAAACTGTTCCTACAACACTTTTGGAAGAAAATCAGCCTTTGATGGGCACCACTAAGATGTTGAATTCCAACTGCTGGCAGTCTGATGTAGTCTGCTTTGATGACAGCAGTGGTAACAAGCCCAAAGCACACGTGTGTGGGATGTGACAGGGGTGTGCACCTGTCTCGGGCAGGGGGCACCAGGTCTTCCCCGTGGCAGCCTCCTCGGTGGCTGTGCTAATCACCGGCAGTGACACGGGAGTGACACTCGCCGTGCCCGGCTCACAGGAGCGAGCAGGGCGTTGGGGCTCTAAGTACACAGCTGCTTCTCAAATTATGATGCACAGGGTCAGAGGTCACTGCAGAAAAAGCAGATAAAATTATGCTTCCTACTGCCACCATGCCACATCAAAATGGTAAATTGTTTGTTTTATAGTGGGTCTGTCAAGCTGCTCTGCTGTAGCAGACACGTGAATTTCTCAGCTCGCTTGTAGCCCTTTAACAATAAAGGGGTTTGTTTTCTAAATATTGTGCTAGAGATTTCTTTCTGTTAACTGTTGTTCTTTGACTGCTGCTATAAAATAGAAGTTTTTAGACATTTTTAAAGTGTTTCCCTGGTGGTGAGGCTTGGCAGCAAGATGAGGATGTGGGGCCAGCAGTGCTGCAGGATTTGTCTGCTCTGGCCGTGCTGTGTGTGGGCACGGCAGCCTGTGGGCTCCCCTTGGATACCTGGGATATGGGATAAGCTGTGGGCAGATGGCTGTGCACAGGATGAGCCATCTAGGTTAATGACCGGGGCAATGCTGTCTGCCTTTCTGTTCGTGGCTGCTGCTTCTGTTCCTGCTTCAGAAACAGGGCAGATCTTTACCCTGTGTGCAGCACCCGCTCACTTTTCTCAGAGTCTCTCGACACCTCTCTGCTGTCCTTTCCACTTGAATTTGTATTGAACAAGGGATGCTGCTTACAAGAAACTTGTGGAACTAAGAGTGAGAACCAGGCTGGAAAAACCATGAGTTCAAATATGTAGGGTATGTGATGCTTTCTCCAGCTTTGACTTTTTTTGAGTTCCTTTTTATTGTGAAGGGCTTGTTAATTTTTTGTTAAATTCTTCGACCATAACTGTGACCAAAGAGAGGAATGCATTTGACAAGTGCAATAAAGCAACTGTTCTGTGTTTATGGCAAGTGCTATACTTTTATGCTATTAATTCAAATTGCCTGGATTTTTATAAAACTGGGACAGTATAGGATTACCTACCTTGCTAGAACAGTTGAAATGGATCACACTACAAAGTAGTCCACATCTCCCTATCAAATTTTAGAGAAAATAATCTTGGAGTCATAGGGGAGGCGTGTGTCTCTGGAGCACAGCTTTTAGATGCATTTTTGTAACCAGAAAATGTTGGGAGTCCCAAAAAGAAATAACAAGAAAATGCCATTAAGTAAAATAGAAAGTTCAGTGCAAAAAGTTGCACTGTATGTGAGGTAGTGACACTTAGGAGGACACAGGTAACATCAGAAATGTGTTTTGCTACACTACTGTATCTAAGCAGAGAAGGTGACTGCTGTACTCAATCCTCTTCCAAGAGGAAAAGTGGTGGGAAGTGTACATGGGAATGATTTCCTTGAACAGACTTCTGCTGAAAACCAAAGGCGTGCAAATAATTGGTTATTTTTCTTCAGTTTGATGGTTGTACAGACAAGGGAAAATCCTTTGGGACCAGAGAAGTCTTTAGAGAATGAAGAAAGCAGAATGTGTTCCAAGACCAATACACTGCTTCAATTCCAGGTATTTTTAATTTTTTTTCTAAGTAACAGCAAGAAATCTGGGATCTTATTTGCTTGTTTGTTTTTGTTTGTTTGTCTGGGGATTTTTGGCTTTTTAATTAGCAAGGTAAAATTCAGAAGTCATGTGCAGCTCCAAGAGGGAAGGAGTGTGGGCATCCCTACCTCTTTAAATACATCCAGCAGGGTTAGCATTCATGTCACAAAGCTGTTGATGCTCTCCTGTGAGCCTGGCAGAGCAGAAAGAGGGTCTGAATTCAAGTTTCTCCATCCAAAAATAGTTCTGACCACTGGATGAAGGATATGAAGTGGAAAACCTGATAAGAATGACCATAGTAGTGACCTGTACATGAATTCCCATGCATGTGTAACATGTTTTCTTACACTAAAAAGGGATAATTGCGTTGGGTAGAAATAGACAACCCCAAATAAGCTGGGAAGACTCTCTGAGACAAACCTGGCCCAACATTACTTGAGTTTAGGATAAGTGCAGATAAGTAATTAAATGTTCTTGAGTACACTTAGGCTTTCTTTGAAGCCAAGATTTTTGGTACAGAGATAAGGTGCTCTGCTGCCAGTGCCTGCTTCCAGGGAAGGGCTGGATGTTCCTCCCTGCTGGATCTCATGTTCATGGTGTGCTCAGTCACTTCTGGTCAGTGACTGCAACCCGATAGCCATTGCTAAATCCTCAGCCTCTTCTTGAAGGGACTCGGTGGAAAAGGGATAGTCACCGTGGCAGAACAACTTGTACTTGTACTAGGGTCTGAATGGAACCAAGGCTTTTGGATTTTGGAGGTGGTTGCTCATGTGCCAAAGAGGCTAACCCCTGTTTTTGTGTCAGCTCCCCATCTTTGTGGGATAGTCTCACCTCTCAGTGCCTACTAAGCAGCGGATGTGCAAATTATGGCTTTTTGAAGTGCAGTATTGGTTTGAGCCTTGTGTCACCTGACTGAGGTCAGTGAACCTCACCATTCATCTTGGACAAATTCTTCTTATATTGTCAGGCTTCTGTTTTGGAAATGAAGTTATGATCCTTGCTGTCACCTCATGAGTGACAAATATAAGGCAATGGAAAAGGACTTATCCCTAATCCTGCAAAATTAATTTCATAACAAAGTTGATCACTGAACAAGAAAATAGAGCTGGGCAGAGAGTCAAGATATCTCCATTTGGTTTGAGCCAACTTCTTCCTGATTAAAAACTGTAACATATTTTCTTTATAATACCATTCTTGAACTCTTACATTTTATACCACTACCTTAATCAGGTTCAAAGCTGAACGGTGTGTGCTCAGGTCCTTAAGGTGACTTCTAACAATAGTAGCAGAAATGATCCACTGATGCTTTGTGAGGATAATCCTGGAGTCCGTGGTATGTCATCAGCCAGAGGGTGTCATTCCCTGCCCATTATGTTGATTTTTTTCTTGTACATGAGAAGCAGGCTTGTATTTGAGGTTTTCAGTTTAGACCTGTGTCCTCTGTTCTGAAAACAATGATTCCCAAGTAGTTCCTGAAGAAGCTTTTCCTCAAAGGTTTGGGTGGGTAGAACTAGAAAAGTGAAACTGCTTCTAGGGCAGTCTTTTCTTATGTATGTTTCTTTCTTGGAGTGCACTGTTAAATGCACTGTGGAGCCTGGGAGGAACAGGTCATCCCATGCTATGTGTTACCCTATAGCTAATGCCAACTGCAATTTCAAGTGCTCCCTCCTAATCTCTCCCCCTCATGCATTATTTCCTTGTGCAGCATTAACGCACCACATGCTGATCCACTGTTGCTTCATGGATTTAGAAAATAATCTACAGGCCTGCAGTGATGTAAAACATTAAATATTGTTTTAAATATCGGAGGCGCCATCCTGCCTACACGGTACTTAGGGTGGGCAGCACGCCAGCGCCTTTGCTGGCATGTGCCTGAGAACTGGAGCATGCCTGCTCCCCGTGAACAAAGCAAAGCCCAGGACAATAAGGCAGGAACGATGACAGACAGGGAAGGGCTGGCTTATGCCTTGTGCTGTTTGACCATAATATCAGCTTTGGAGACTATACTGTCTGGAGGGCTAAGAGTTTCTTTCTACACTCCTGCCTTACTGCCTGCACCTGCCCATCCCAGGGCAGGCAAGAATGAAAGGACACTTTATAGAGCTTCCAGGGGCTTGTCAGTCAGTTATTGCACAGTGGGATTTCACTGGACGCTTCATACTCCTTCTCTCACTCAGCATTGCCAGATAACACTGGGCTGAGTGCATTTCTTCTTAGTTTGCTTCCCTCTTTCTCTTTGACACGGCAAAAAGCTGGTTTGTGTCTGGCAGGGGAAGGGCTGGGGAAGCCTCTGTGCTGTTCTGTGTGTGTGGAGGGAGCAGAGGTAGTGCAGAATGCCTGCTGCACTTTTTGGGATACCTGTGAACTGAGCCTTTCCTTTCTGCTCCAGAGGAGTAAATTCCCACTACAGCCCTGCCTGTGGATGGGCTGTTCTTCACCCCAGCTTTTTAGTGATGTATCCACACCCACACTCACTATCTGCACAGGGACAACTAGAACAGAGCATGTGTTTTCTTTTCCTTGCAGTGACTTGGACGTGAGTAACCATTGGGAGTCATCCTGTTTCCATTCTGAAAAGCTGCAGTTGCACGATGTCAGCTGAAAAGCTGCAGAAGCTCAGAGTGGTGTGTGCAGCTGCTCAGCCCTCTGGGCACAGCCTGCCCCTCTGTCTGCATCGGGCACACATAAACTGGGCCATGGTTTTAGGTCCCTGCCTGAGGACTGCTGACCCTGTCCTACCTGCAATGTTCCTGATGCTGGGAAAACGTCAGTCCCCCTTAACTTTCTCATCAGCACATCAGCTCCTGTCTTTGTGCCCATGGATCCCAAGTTCCTTGTGAAGGAGAGCACTCAGCCTATGCAAGGTGGTCCTGCACTTCTGAATTCATGGCACAGTGAATGATGTTTTGGAAGGCAAAGCCTCAGGTGCTGTTGGAAACATCTACCCATGAGCTGTTCATTCTATTGGAGTGTCTGCATGAAAGAGGCAGGAGAAAAGGGTTGCCCACAAATATTATCAATACAAATCAGCATGTTATTAATGCAGCCAAAGGTATGGTCTGTACACCCACCCTTTAATGCATGTGAATGTGCTTAATTCTGTGAGAACTTGCAAAGCCAGGAGCTATATGAACTTGGCTGTCACACATTTCTTAAAGCATTATTTCTCCTTTTGCCTCTTAGAGATACGTCTAATGCCAAATGGCCCAAGAACTTCAAAGACATACCACAAATTAAATCTGTCCTTCATGCTTTTGCTTCCTTCAGTATCTAGCTGTGGCAAGGCCAGCTTCTCACTGGCTCTAGGGGCTCTCTCTTCAGACTTTTAAATGTAAGTGAATTATAACAGTTCATGTTACCTGGTCCAGCTGCACTAGAAATGGGCACCTTGACTCATTAGAAAAACAGGCATCTCTCTTCCACTGGGTCCAAACTCCTCATTAGCTTTGAAATATTTCACTCTGTTCCCACTCCTCAAGTTACAGCTTCTTTGGCCAAGTTCACTAGTTCTTATTTCCAGAAACTGCTATATCTCAGAGGGCTTCTGAACTGGTTACAAGGTGATTAATACAGGTAAGGCACCTGTTCTAATTTTAATGTAATTGGCATAAATTACTTTCTGAAGTTGCTTTTTCTTCAAGAGATGGAAGTGCAGAGCATTGATGTGCCGTCTTGGAGCATTATAGGATGAGGCTCCTGAATTTTCTCTCTGCTTGCTTAATTTTGTGTAAGCTTTGCCTCTTTCTTTTGAAGAGTTTCTGTAACTACCAACTTAACTACTGTAGTTATGTTGGGAACACAAAATTAATGAAAAACAGAAATGTAATTTAACTAGAAACCCCTAAATGCATTATTGTCATGTTTTAATCCAGCTGACTGGGTTAAGAGGGCAAGTGTGGAAGCAACATTTCCCACTCCTGGCTGTCCCAGTGTGCTGTTCCTTCCCTTGCTGGCCAGCAGCAGGCAATAGTGTCCTGTCATGTTCATGTCCAGGTGTTAGTGGGTCTCTAACCTGGACTGCTAATGGATGGAATTAGCTCTGAATGTGTGCAAAAAACTCAACAAATGGAAAAGAAAAAGGAAGGTGTTACTATAAGACCATATATGTTGTTGAGGTATGTATATGTCTCTTCCTTCATTGAGCTGTGGTTAATCAGAAGATTCATGTTGGGTTGTTTCTGAAGAAGAGACTCCCCCATTTCATGTCCAGCATAGGCTGTTGTTTCAGCCTGAGCATGTATGCTTTGCTTCTGGTGTATTGGAAAAATGTGGTAATGTCTAAAACAAGAATTATGTGGGAAAGACGTGAAGATGCATAAAATGATGAAAATCCATGGGTAGAAGGATCTCGTTAAGTGGACTTAGGGGATTCTCATAAATATCATTTTAGTGTGATGTAGTTCACATGATAACAAGATATTTTGTTCCACCAGCAAAATGGAGCATTAGCTTAGAGGACTGGATTACTCATGGCACAAACATGGCTGTTATGTGCAAACTTTCGGTGTTCTGCCAAGGTCAGTTCGTGGGGGTTGAGATGAAACTGTTTCCTAAACTGTGAAAGTGATCCCGGGTACCCAGGCTGCTGGAATGCCTGGAGGTTTTATGGATTCCTTCCCCTTTAGCCCACTAGCAGGGTATCTGCTAATGCAGGCTCCCCTTTCCTGCCTGCATTGCTCTAGTGAGGCTGGCCTTAGGAGAAGCATTGCTTTGACTCACTTTGTTTTCTGACTTCTTGTTTGCCTGCAGAAGGAACATTTACAGCAGGCTTTTCTGTAGATAACCAAGGCAAAATGTTGTCCTCAGGCACTGGAAAAGATGAATGTATCACTCATGTCTGAATATGACACCAGACCCAGGATAGGACTGGGAAGGTGTCAAGTTATAGTCAGATCTACTCTCACAGCACCTCAGCTGAGAACATTTGTTTGGGAAGGGCTGGTGGAAGGTTTCATGTCATGCAGGTGAAGGAAACAAAAGGTAGGAAAACAGATTTTGGCCTAGGGCTGAGGATCTGCAGTGGGCTTGTTCCTCCTGCCCACTTAGAAGGGATGTGCACTTGCAGGTAGGTCCTGTGACCAGGCAGGTCTTGGCCATGCCAGAGCTTGCTGGAAAGACCATTCCTGAGGGTGCCTAGCAGAGCTCCAGCTGTGTTGCCCGTGTGTCAGGCTGGCTTTGTGCCCTCCCCTTGCAGCTCACTGGCTGTTGCTGGTCTGGCTGTGCTTGCCCAGTGCTCCAGAGCCTCTGATGGCTCATAGCAGAGCACCTCTGCTGAAGCTTGATGTTAGGAGCATGCACTGGAATGGAGGTGTCAGAGTGGTCTCTAACTGCTTGAAGTGGTGCAGCTGAAAACCGTGTGTGTTTAGGAACATGCTTTGTTATGGAAGGGAGTGGAAGACTAATGGAGTGACGCTGATAAGCAGCAAATGAAGTTGGAAATACGTGTTCAGGGTGAAGTCAGGGGATCAAACACAGATTATATTCCTTTGGCTAACTGCCTTCAGATTTTATAATTCATTGATTTTTTTGCCTGTGCTATACAGGATGCTAATTCAGGAGTTAAAAATCTAAGGGACATTAGGGGGGATTACCAGGCTTCCGCAATGTCAATGTCAAACTTGGATTCTGGGAAGCTTTGTCTTAGGGCAGGACTTGAGGATGAAGGTTCTGTGTGAGTGCAGAAGTAGGATTAAATTTCAATCAAACCCAGAAAGAAACAGTAGAGGGCTGAAAGATATCTTCCCTCAGCTGAAGTAGTTACTCTCTTCATACCTGTAAAGAGGACCTTGCCCAAATTCCCTTAATTTGCTGCAAAGTACATCTGAGGCCTCAAGTAGATCTCAGCTCCAGTGTATTTACTGTCCCAACAGAAACAATGCACTGCAACCTCACCCTAATTTTACTGGAATCAGCTGCCACTACTCTGGAGCAGAAGCAAGAAAAAACAAAATTAATATCTGGATAAACAGCCTATTAATTTGATGACAACTGTTGTTCTCCATTTCAGGGTCCAGAGAGCAGCCTGGGCAGTGAGCTAATGAGAACACCAGAGCCGTGCAGCCTAGGGGGAGGTGGGGGGTAGAGAAGAAAACAGAACAAACACTCCTTTTGTAGCTCGGAGCTAAGGGGATTCAGCCAAAGGTTAATTGCTTTCTACCCTAAAATGCTGTGAAGTGTTGCTGCGTGGTGTCATACAGCTGCTTCATCCCAGCCTGAGGGTGTCTGTTTCAGTGGTGGGTGGCATGAGCCAAGATCCTTTTTTTAACCGCACGGGGGTGTTGCAAGGTCTCCAAAAGGCATCCAAAAATCTGGTGGAGCTTGGTTGGTATCATTTAGGGTTTCACCACATCATGGGAGCAGTTAGCAAAAACACCAAATGAGCACCAAAAGAACAGATTGCTCTTCACTAGGAATTTTTTTTAGGGGATGCAAGCTCATTGTTTCCTCTGATTCTTCATTAGACAATCAAATGAAAGATGCTACAGGAATCAAGAGATAAGGACAGAAATGAGTGTAATAGTAAACTTCACCTTACTGTCACCTTTGCCTCTTAGCCAGTGTATCTTTAAAATATTTTAAAATTAAACTGTGAACTTTAATTTTAATGATCAAATTTGTTATTCCTAAGAATAATAAAAAAAAATCCGTTTTTTTTTTTCCATTAACAATTCTGCTCATGCAACTTCTGCGCTGTGTAGAACTTAAAGCAATAAAATAACTTTCTATTAGCATAGGTCTGTTGTGATAGCTTGGAAGTCTCCTTCTGGTTGGTGGGACATCAAAAATTTCAAAAAACCAGAAAGTTGTACACGGGGAAAATAATCCTGTGATGTTGTGCAGTCTTGTGACAGTGCCCAGGTTCCCTTGTCTGGAGATCATAATAGTGGAAGAGAATTAGAGTAGAGTATTTAAGTTGGAAGGAACCTACAGTGATCATCTAGTCCAATTCCAATTGATACTTGTGAGATTAAATGGAACTAAATAGAAATGTGATGTCTGATCTTCCTGTAGGGTAGGTAAATTTCTGATTTTAGTGTTTGTATGTGAACTCTCAATATTGCAAATAATTCTGCTGATATCACTACTCCAACCTGTTTGTCTCAGTTTCTCTTGTCTGGTCATTCTGCCCATTTCCTTGTGAACATTTTTATCTTTTACTTTACTTGTGCTTTCAACACTTATTTTATTTCATGACTCCACAACTGAAGTTTACCATATACAAGGTTTAAATTCATGACCAGCAAGCCTGAGCAAGTGTATGCTCATTGAATGTCAGAGCTTGAGTATTTTCGATGCTCAGTTCAGGTAAGGAGGAGCAGTTTCCTCTGTGATTCTTATGCCAAATGACAGGATGGTCTGAGAAAACCCTGAACATTTCATTAGTGTCTCTTCCTATCTCAGTCATGTGTGCATGGCTCACCCTGCACTGCTGGGAGCCCAGTCTGGCTCCACCCATCCCCCAAAAGGCAAAGTGTGGGGTCACAGCGCTGTTCCAAATGACCAAGCTTTCCCCAGAGTTAATTCCCCTCAAAAAGGAGACAATGCAGGCAATAAGGGCACTAGAGATGGGAGTGCTTTGGGCTCTTGTTTGCCCTCCATCCAGGTCTCTCCCTGTCCCTTTCTGATAATGAAAGAACATGTTCCAGTTCTTCTGCTTCCAGGGAATAGTGTTAAGTCTCATGGTGGCCAGGCAGATAATGGTCCAGTTGGGAGCACAGACAACAACCCTTAGAGCAGTTTTACCATATGGGAAATGTTTAAAGCATTTTTTCAACAAGGTTTTGGGGTGTTCTGCTTTTGAAGTCCCTTATTCCAAATAGGGTGATGTGTGTACCTCTGCTTTTGTTGGAGCTGAGTATCACAAACAGGATGAAGCTCTTTTTCTGCATGTCAGTACAATAGAAACACATGAGTTTTTCTAGAAGCTTGTCTGACTCAGCAGTATTGCCTAAACTTTCAGAGACAACTGCAACCTACACTACACATGGTAGAGTTGCATGGTATCACTCCTGTTTTCTGTTCCTTACTTGTCTTCTGGCCTAATTGAAGGTGCTGACTTGTCAGTTTGGAACATGAATGGTCACTGAGCCCAGTGGGACTGGGGACAGGGCTTGTAATACTGATGGCATGACTCTATTAGCAACAATGTGTGTGAGTAATTTGGTAGAATAGTTATGAGCCATCTGCAGTTGCTCAGCAGCCTGAAAGCACACTTTGAAGTCAGCTTTACTGGAGCTGACCCTGGTAAGTTCTTGCTTTTCATTCCTAGGACTGCTGCACAAAGTTAACATCAAGTGCTGTCTTGGAATCCTGGATCTTTCCTTGGAATACTGAATCTTTCCAGTGAAGCAGATAGGAATTCTGAAAGGTTATGCAGTGTCTGAGAGATCTTCAACACAGCTTTAAACTTTTGTGACTATTTCATGGGAAACAAATCTTTCCTTGTTTTCTTTTTTTCCCCCCCACTTCATAATAGCATTAAACTCATTTTCTGCAAACCTGCTTTCAACGGTCTAGCTAATTTATACTGGAAGTAATTGGACACACCTAATGAAAAGCAGAGTGGAATTTTGCTGTTGAACTGCAATGTTCTCTTCAAGTCACTGGTCTCTTCCATTTGATAATTGTCATAACAGCAATTAAGTAACCTGACTTCTCCTCTTTCCTGCCAGTGATGAAAGCTTAAAATGAGTCTTCAAAACTGTCACTCTTCTCTAAAGTTTCCTTAAAGAAATGGCATTTACTCCTCTCTTAATATCTTGCTATCTAACATTAGCTTGCTGTTCAGCCTTCAGAGAGCTCTTACTGCAATAGTCAACCAGGTAAGGGCTTTAGATACTCTTGGGCTACTTCTTATCTTGAGGAGTCCAAGGGGATCATGGTGATGCTGTTTGTGACCTCAATCTCTTGTTGTGTAGAGACCACGTTCATTTACTCTCAAATCCATTATAAATTCATGTTACATGCTTACTCACTCATTCCATAGTGGGATTCTGCTCCATACCCAGAGCTGTGGTGTTTCTGGTCAAGAGCAGCATTTGTGCTGCTGTTGTGGTTGCAGTTTTTCCTGGTGTGCCCTTGGCATGACAGGTGCTGTATGGACAGGGGGTTGAGTTGTTCCCTTAGCTCTTGTGTGGGATTAACCAGGCACTGCCTTTCTTGTGCTTTGTGGGGTTCTCAATCTCGTAGCCTTCTTCAGCCTTCAGAGAGGCTGTGGGGGTATGTACAGAAGAGCTGTATGTCAGTGAGCTGTAAATTGCTGCCATCTACCAGCTCATGTAGGGGGCTCCCACCTGGTCTGGTGTGTGCTGGGATCTATGCTCTAGCTCCAAATCCTGGCTCCTGGGATTTGCCTTTGACCGGACCTGTTCTCAAACACTTGAAGGAGGTGGATGCCTGGTCTCATCTCTTCATAAACAAACCAACCTCATCTGTAGGTGCATGCAAAAAAACCCTCAAAAGACCCAAACCCAAACAAAACCAACAACCAAATAACCCAACCCCAAGCCCACAAAAAGCCCCCCAAGCAATCAAACAAAAACCAAAAAAGCGATATGGATTTAAGGTTTTTTAGCAGTCACTCTCTAGCCTAAATTCTGTGAGACTTCTTTATGTTACAGATTCCTGTCCCAGAGGGGTTTTTAGCAGTCAAGAGGGTTGGAAGGTATTTGAACTGCTACAGTATATCGTGTTCTCAGCAAGAGCTTCTGCTGTCTGTTCAGTCCAGAGAGGTTCTTAGCCCATCTCTGTGAGCATAACTGTAATGCTACGAATTATTCCTTGTGGAAACTTTAACTATTGTGCTTAGTGGGTTTACAGGAGCTTTTTCAGTCTGCTTTTAGTGTATTTGTGTTGGTGGGGATTCTGAGTGGAATTACATGCCCAAGCTTTCAGATAACTGCTGTAAATACACAGATCCACTCTAGTTCCTTACTTCACTGTAGCAGCTGCTGCGGTGTTGCAGAAACTTCATAGCTTTGACTGCATCTTATTAGTTCAGCACACTATTAATATCCCAGAAGCTTTTTGTATTAGTTTCCACACTTAATATTGGTTCTCCTTCCATCTTCCCTGCCCCCCTTCACACTCAGTCATTAAACTAAATTCATCTTGGGGCTTTTTCATTTAAGATGCCCTTGCTGCCCACACCAAAGAGGGGAACCAGACTGGAAGAAAACCAATTGTGCTAACAGTCACCTGGTATATTTAGTGGCAATGTCATCTAACATGCATTTATGCTCAGAAGTAGTGCCTTTCTGCTTCTATATGGGGCATTTGTAGTGTTGGCAAAATCTTTCCAGAGAAACAGCTGCTGATTGGCTCTTCTTGTCTATTTGGGGAAGGATCTGTCCTTAAATACTTAGTTATTCTGCTTTCTAAAAATGGCATCAAGCACTTGGCACTATCAGGATTGGACTCGAAACTTTTACTGAGGTGAATTGGGTGCATTGCCCCAAGACCTGGTGAATCCTTGTCTCCCCTAGAGGAATGACTGCACAAGTACCAGCAAGTGGGTGCAGGTACATCTAGGGCAAGTCAGTGCCTGGGGCTCTAAAATGCCGATTGCAGTCTTCCTCTGGAAGGCTTTAAAACCAAATGTCACATTATTACGGTTAAATGGCTCTGGTGAAAAGGGCACAGGACTGAGATGCATCTCAGCTAATATTTCTTCTGAATGTAAAGAAATCCTGTCCCAAATGGCAGCAATGCCTCTCCTTTGAGGTGTTGTGTCTCAGTAAGGTGGAGAACTCAGGCTGTTGTCTGAGTAGGGACTGGGAGCCAACTTGCCTTTGCCAGTCTGTGCTGACCAGAGACAGGGCAAGGAGGAAGGCTCCACCAGCATTTGGCACAACTGCCCCAGCCTCCAAATGCATAAACCATCTGACTGACACCTAACTGACTGAGGAGAAGGCTCTAGGGTGAGCAGCTCACCAGGAATAGAAGTGTTTTACCCTTTTGGTAGACCATAGGTGCTTCCCACTGTTCCTCAGAGTTTACAAGGTCAGGAAAACTTGACATCCAGAGAGCTGGTAGGGTACCAAGGGAAGGTTTTTACTCCATAGCCCAGGGGCTTTGGTCACCTCTGAGCTCTTGCTGTGACACCTCACCCAAGGGAGAGCAGTGGGTGAATCATGCAATACTCCTTTGAAACAGAGGCTAGCTTAGGACAGCTTGAGGGTCTAGGACACTGAAATATCTTCCTGTCCAAAATAGTTTGAATTAGTTGATCTGCATGGCATGCTGCCAGGCTTCAAGGAGAACTAGGGAGGCCTGGCTACTGGTCAGCAGGCTGGACTGGGTGGTAGGAAGTTATTAATAGCTGGTCTTCCATGGAAAGAATGAGTTTGGCTGAGATGTGATGTAAAGCTGCTAACTGGTACAGCAAGCAAATGCTGAAAGTCTTGTCTATTATCACTTGAATGAGCTGTTACGCCTTATGGAGAACCTTGAGCCGCCTGGCATTGGCCTCTCAATCTGAGCTGTGTGGTTGGGCAGCACAGGTGCAGGTCTGAAGAAAAGAAGCTGTCAGCTCTTGGTCAGCCTCAGGGAGTGGTCGGTGTATCTTCTCTTCCTCAGCAAGTTTAGGTTCCCTCAAGGTCCCTCATGATGCAGTTCTCACCTGTAAGAGTCAGCTCTTTGTTTCTGAAACAACTTAATTTAAGGACAGAGAAGTAAGAAAGGTGCTTTTCTGCACACAAATAGAAGTTTTGGAAAGAAAGATTATCTCAAAACCTCAGACAAGACCAGTTTGGAAAAAAGGTGGAGGAGACTGGGAAAAATAAATGACTAAAAATTCTCTTCTTGAGTGGAATGGCAATGAGGAATTTCTTATGGAGGATTTAGCTGGATCAAAGGTTACAGTAAAGCACAAGTAATAGATTTGCTTTAACTATACCAGCTGGTCCTCTCCTTTTAAAGGCTTGTGGCAGAGTGGCTTTAATGATGTTATTGTGGGCATCTGTTGGACTTGTTCTTGAGCACTTGATTAGAGGTTGTCATTTTTAAGGGGAAGGCTAGGAAAATCAAGTGGTGTTGCATTCAATGTGAAGCTTGTATTTCCTTTTGTGTTCTTCAGTTCCCTTCAGGAACTTTTCAGTTTCCTTGCAGGAAACTAATACAAGGCTCTGGGTTAATACACAGAGGTCTCCAAGCCAAGCCCAGTTTCATCCCTTGGAACAACTGGTGCTTCTTAAGGGAGATGCTAGCTCCCAGAATAGCTACGTGGATCAAGTTTGTCATCTCCCTCATCCTAAAGCTCACACATCTGATTGTCCTGCTTAGAAAGAGGGAGGATGAACAAGAGTCAATGGAATATCCATTTCTCATTAAAAATAGTTCTTGTCCTGGCTATTGTAGGGAAACTTTATTTCCTTGGTGGCTTGTTGCTGATCTCTGCTCTTGTCTGTTGGATTTCCACCCTGGAAAACAGGTGTAGAGATGCTATAAGTAGCAAGAAGTCTGATGCATGCAGTGAGTTCCTTGAAGACTCTAAATTACAGTTTTCCTTCCTGTGCTACAACCTCAGGTCCCTGACCTGCAACTGCAGCATATTTTCTGTGACTAACAGCTGTAATTCCCTAATTATCATGCTCTATTCTCCTGCTGTGCTGTAGATTTTGTTACCAAGGAAGCAAACCAAGTTTCCTCGTCCCTACTCTTGCTCTGTATGCTCCCAATTGTTTTAAATCCACCATTTGATGCAGCCCATAAAGACAAATGACTATCTCTTGTTTCAAATACTCAAAGTTTCCAGAACATATTACGTAGCTGCATGCTGGGGACAAAGAAGGAAAATTAAGTCTTTCTGGCCTTTCTTTTAGTGAAGGCAGCTGGTCCAAAGCTACTGCTAGGTTAGAAAAAGTACCTTTATTAGCTGTAACCATCCTGTGTGGAGGGCTGGACTAGAGGTAGTCTCAAACAGTGGGCCCAAGCAAATGATACTGTTGCAATGTGACTGACAAAAATTCTGTAAACCCCTGGAAAATGAAGGTGTACATTAAATGGCAGGTTGTGTTGCCATAATTTCCATACAAGCCTCATCATTTGAGGATGGCTAACAAGGGGTCTGTTCCTTTTTGTCTCCACTGCTTTTGAGGTTGGGGATAAATGATTGTGTGCCACATGGTAATGAGAATAAACCTGTGCTAATCAAGGTGATTAGATCAATACAGCCAGACTGTACTGTGACAGATAAGCAGCTGTCACAGAATATCACAGAAATGTGTTAAGAAGCAGAAAAAACTTCTAGTTTCCTAAAACCCCACAACCTAGTGTTTACCTTTCTAAGTATGCAAAGATGTATGTGACTACTGCATGTACTGAGGCTTTACTGGATGATGCCCATCATTCTCCTGCAGGATGCACAAGGGCAAGTTTAGTTCTTTAAGCAGTTGTCAGTTTGGATCCATCAGGCTAACGTGGCTGTGTCCACAACAAGCATCAAGCCCCCAGTGCCCTGGGTGGCAGTCGGTGACAAACAGGAATGCATTCCATGGGGCCAGCCTCCAGTAATTAATTCATGGCTCACTCCAGAAATATCATCCAAGTTGCAACATGAATGATGTCTCCTGGGTCACAGGATAAGAGTTACTGACTCCATATGGGGGATTTTCTGCTTGACTCCTCTGCCCACTGTTTGCGACTACCTCCAGTCCTGCCCTCCACACGGGATGGTTACAGCTAATAAAGGTACTTTTTCTAACCTAGCAGTAGCTTTGGACCAGCTGCCTTCACTAAAAGAAAGGCCAGAAAGACTTAATTTTCCTTCTTTGTCCCAAGAGCTAGGAGGCTGCTCCTTCCTCTGGATCACTGGGATTAAATCCACAGCTGGGTCTAGAACAGGTGACACCCAAGGTGGGGGTGGGGGGGGGCAATGAAGGAAATTGTCTGCTTGGCCTCAATCAAAGGAGAAGGAAAAATGAAATGCCAAAGAAAAGGAGTAAGTTTAGACAACACAAAAGATGTCCCTGGAATTAAGAGTGTCCAGCATTGCTTTATTTGCAAACTCCACAAATACAGGGGCTTCAATACAGTGCATTATGTAGCTGGCAAGCATGGATCAGGCATGGAGGCACATAAATCTATGGGGACCATTGTGGATGTATTTTTCACTACAAAATAATGGTGGGATAACCTAGATAACCTATGAAGACGCTTTTGTTCAGTTTCTGCAACTCTGCTCAGGTGTCTGAGTGTTTAAATATTAAGTATTGTGCACCTTAGCACACACATGTCAGAATATATTGGTGTAATGTGGAAACTTGCCTTTAAGATGCATTAGACTCAAGGTTAGAGATACAAACTTCAGTACTTCATAGAAACTCGAGTTGTGGTGGTAGTTCAGTAGATGTTTTGACTTCATGGCACCCTGAGCTGGTGTTATGCTATGCTAGATTGTACCTGTAATAACCTGAAATTTTTTTTTTTTTTTGGGGGAGAACTTACTGCTTGATATGATTGCACTTGATTTTGGTCTGTGTCCGTACTTGTGAGGCTTCCTGTGATGCAGTGGATTTGCCTGAGTCTCAGGATGGGAAGAGTCACCAGCACACATTGTGTTACCTGTCACACATTGTGTGACCCTTCACCAGCAAGGCATGCAGGTCCCCCTCACCCCTACCACCAACAGCAGTCTTTCTCACTGGTGTCAAAATCCCTTCTAAAACAGGAGCTAGATGTGTAATTTAAAACCTTTATCAGAAATAACAAAGGATCCCCAGAGTCTTTTCCCTTTGACAAGGCCTGGGAGAAACCACCTAGTGCCACTCTGTTGTTGATACTCATGAAATTGGTACCTCAGAAGAGTGTTGGTAGAGGTGGTTTTCATGCTTTGGTTTCACTGAAGATGTGCACTCCTTTTGTGCAAATTCTGAGCTGTTCACTGCTTCCAAATTTCATAAACTCTGCAGGAAAAGTTGTTTTTTCCCCAGTGAACTCCAAGGACATGTGCTGCTGATGGCCACAAGCTGGGAGTGACTTTTGGTGGGTGGCTCTTGGTGAACAGAGCAAGTGACACTCAGATGCTGAAGGACTCCAGAGGGAAGGAGAGTGCCCTCACCTGCTTCTGAGTCAATACATAAACAAACGATTAAAAAATTCCCAAAAGCAGTCTGTCCTGCTCTCCTCAGCCCCAGCACAGGCCTCCACCCTGAAGGAGAACATGCAACATCTTATTGTGCTTAATAGCATTTTCTTGTTGTTGTTGTGTTTGTTTGTGGGGTTTTTTGTTGTTGTTGATAGTTTTTTGGTGTTTTTTTTTGTTTTTTTTTTTTAAGGTGCAGGCTTCCACCACAGCAAACCTGGTGAGTCACTCTGTCCAGGATCAATCAAAATACAGCTCTTGCTCCAGGCTTGGTTTATTAACAGCACCAGGAGCAGTTATGTGAGAAAGGCAGGTCTCTGCCTACCGGCCATGCAAGTCCCTCCAGCTAGAAGGGAGATGTGTGACCATCAAAGCTATGCTCAGCAGGCAGGAGCACTGTCCTGCAGCATTCCTGCTAAGGCTCCCTCACAGCTGAAACACCCAGGCTGTGGCAGGGGGAGTTGGGTTACACAGGGGAGCAGGCTGGCTCTTCCCTAGCTGAGCATCTGCTGTGCCACAGCACAGGCACAGAGAGAGTTGTTTGGGGGCTGCCTCTGACTTGCTGCTGTGGAGGAAATGTTTGCTGAGAGTGCTGGAGTGGGCATCTGCTTCTCCTGAGGGTGAGAGGGTGGATTGTTAACCCCCTTACTGAGATGGAATGTTTTACTTGGGAAAGGGTGCATATACCTGGCAAATAAACTGCCTTTGACCAGGCAGTTTTGAATTAAGTCAACCAACTTGAAGCCCACACTGCAGAAGGATGGTTGCTGTACCATAATGCTAAGGTATAAAAGCTTTTTTTGTTGTTGTTGGTTTTGGTTACTTGGCTTCGAACAAGTGACTCAGGTAGGACATTGAAATTAACCACTGTTATCAAATATTTGGGGGTAATGAGTGTCAGTCTCCAGCTTGTAACAGCCTTCTGCTCCTGAGCTACCCAGCTGTGTCTTTAGCACTGTGCATGGCTTAGTGTGAACCACCAGGCACAGCATTGCCTCAAGCAAGACTTGAATGCATCCTGATATTACTGAGGGTCAGCAGGACAAGCATTTTGGGAAGGCTGAGATGGTCTAAGACAAATCTCATGGATGTTGTTTGGTGTTTGGTTAAAGGTGATGGGCAGAGGAAAGAATGGAGATGGTGAATGCTGCTTTCTCTACTGTACTGCCCAGGGGGGATGTGCTGAGCTCTGCTTTTGCTTACTGTCAATCCCAGCAGCCCAAGAAAGGAAGGGGCTGGGAAACCTGAACCAGCAAAGCAGGAGTAGCACCCAGACCCTGCCCCCCGAGGCTGGCTGATGTGGCCTGTACCCCATGTCTGCAGCACACCCCTACTTTGCTTGCCCCGTGAGCAGAGTGGAAGTGCTGTGCAGCAGGGGTGGTGTGTGCTTCAGGAGAGGAGGGCTGTGTGTTTTGTGTCTCCAGCGTGGTGTGCGCCTGGGGCAGGCACGAGGGGTTTGTGTCTCCCACGTACAGCACGTGTGGTCTGTGCAGTGCAGGAAGCAGCACCCCTGGGTGCCGCTGCAGTCCCCCCACAGCTGCCCTGCAGCCTGCTCCAGCCCTGCCCAGCATGGCTGTTGTCATGGCCAGCTGCAGCTGTCTGGGGATGAAGTGCCCTGTTGGGGTGCCAGCCAGTCTGGCTGCTGTGCAACAGGATTCTGCCTGCAGTGCCGCTGGTTTCTCAAGGCTGGAAAGGTTTTCTGTGTCCCACTCCCCCTCACAGCACAGCCCTGGTTCTGTCAAGGGTGGCCTAACACTCTCCTTGCACACAGGAGCAGGATTCTGTGGCTGCAGGAGCCACAGCCCTGCAGGTGAAGGTGCAGGCTGACAGATTGCTCTCATGCAAGCATCCCCACAGCAGCAGGAGAGATGCTGAGGGTGCAGGAACATGTCCAGCTTGGCTGGGACAGAAATGCAGCTCCTGAAGCCAAGTCATCCCCTCTTCCTCCTCAGGGAAGCACATCTGCAAAAAACCTAAATCCAAAGCAAGGTTAATAATAGTTAGAGACATTTCTTATTGCAACAACCTGGATTTATAACTCTAAGGGAGGGTCAGTCTCCCAGCCTGCTGTAGGAGAGGTGTGGCAAGCCTCTACACTAGTCAGTGAGACAAAAACTCAGTAAAGCTTGGGCTCTGGACCTGTTTTTTACTGTTTACCCAATTTTCAGTTGCCCCAAACACAGAGGAACAATGCAGGAAGGCATTAAGTGTTTGTTTTCAGCCCACTCACCCTAGTGTCCCAGCTCTTGATTTATATACCACCTCATCAGCTGGACCACAACTGTCTCTGGTCTTGCATTTTAACTTACCTGAAAGAAAACCACATATAGATCATATAATGCAGACAGTTAGAATTATTTATTTTTGATTTGCAAAGCAGCTCCTTCAATCTGTTGCTAGCAATGTGTCTATAAAATACACTTTAACAACAAATCGATGAAGCAGGGGTAAGGAGTGCTGTACATACCTCACAGCCAGACAAACCCCATGGTAGCAATTGCCTTCAAAGGTCTTCCACTGTTTCACCATCCACCAGAAAAGGCTGATTCAGGCTGCTGGCCACGTGCAGAGGGGATTTCTTCAGCAAAATTTCTTGCACAGAGCCTGTGGGCTCAGCTGCTGCCTGAAACAAGAATCACACAATAGAAAAGCTGCAAAGATTTGACCCAACAGCTGCTTCATCTTCTGCACTGATTTAAAGC